AATATGTATCATATGTCATCATCATCACTATATTTCATTACTCTCTTTTCATCCATTCTACCGTAATACCATTTAAAATCACCATATGGCAGTTTCCTACACATTGCTAATCCGTAAAGGTTATTAGCATCTAAATAACTTATGTATGATGAAGGTTTAGATTTATAATAATCTTCATTCATGTATTTATTGTTTGCTTTTACCTTCTTAAAGGAGCACTGTGTCATTCCTCCTCGTAATCCATGTTCAATCATCTCATACATTTCTTTTTTGTGTATTTGTTCTAGTCTAACTCCTGTCAATGATAAAAAGGCATTCCAAGAATAGTTAGGTAAAGTGATATAATATGCTGGGTCTAATCCATAATAGTTCAAACACATATCCCTAAAATTTTCAAAAACATCAGTTAGTAAATATACATCAGTCATCAAATATAAATCATGATATTCGCCAAGGTTTTTAATGTTGAAATGTTTCCATACAATATTTGCTCTGGCGTAGTCTTTGTCAGTTATGTTTCCTTCAGATAACCTACTGTAAAAGTCTTCTTTCTTTGGTAGTTTTGTTTCATCAAACTTATTCCATGAATTCATGTAGTCATAGGGATACACCCCTTTCTCAGTTAGTAAATTCAAATCAGTTTTGGATTTAATGTATGGGTTAGTGCTTGTATATCTAAAACGAGTTTCCCAGTCTTTAATCTTTTCATTTCCTTCATATTTGTTCAGTCTAACTAATTTATCTAATGATGCGGTTAAGAAAGAAAAACTGTCTTTAAACTGACAAGCGCCAAATGAAAAGGTTATGAACTTTTCGCTGTTTTGTGCTATTACATCTATTCTTTTGTTTTGGTTTAGTTCTATGTTTAGTTCATTTGCTTTTGCTATGATTAAGTGAGCGTCATAATTTCTAAGATTATGAAAGAAAATAGGGATTTTAAAATACCTAAATGAATAATCCAGATTACACTTTACATGCGCCGCGCCTCTGTATTTGCCTGTGAAGTGGCAGTGGTCGCGGACTTTCTCATCATCAGGTTGGAATTTCTTATTACATATAGAGCAGTGGGTTGCTTGTCTAAATTCTGTCTTTTGTTCGTAAGTTAATTCATCCATTGGTTTATTAACATTCATCTTTTCAAATATATATTTCTTAATTTCAGTCAGTTGTTCTACAAACTTTTTCATACAATCCTCACCTCTGTATAAGTACGGTTGGCATGTATTATCAATCCTGCTTACTACATTTAGCATATAACCACATGGTTTATGTTCTTGGTAAGTTCCTCTGGGAGCACTGCTTCCAGAGCAACTTACGGCACCTTCGGTGCCGTAAGTTCCCTTTATTTCAATGTTAGAGTTAGTGGTTAGACATTCAAAATCACCGTAGATTACAAAAGGACAAGGCAATTTAGTATTATGCTTTTCAAATTCTATGTATGTGTCTTTATTTGGGATCTTTGTTTGTTGTCCTTCTGACGCCATACATCCTTTTTCAAGATGCTTCTTAAATACTGTTTCTGATTGAAATGGATTTAAGCAATGGTGGCAGTAAAACTTTTTATTAGTGTTGCTACTGCTCTGACAGTTTAGTAATCTAGATTTGTTTTTTACTAATACGTAATGATAGTGATTATCTTCATCATAGACTTTTAACAAATCTATTTCGTATTTAGCATTTCTATTTTTAGTGCCTCTATGTAATATGATTTTGTTGTCATTTAAGCTGTCATCTGGTTCAAAAACATTTACTGAAACTGATTTATTATTCTCTTCAAATCTGTCTATGTCCCTATTACCAGTTGGAAATTTTACACCATCCCAGTTCAACATATCATCTTTGAGTTTACTATAGTGGAACATTTCCTCTGGGTGATGTTTGCGTATTTTGTCATAGACTATGGGTTGAATACAATATTTGAAGCATTTTTGGTCTATATTTTTAATGTTGATACATGCCTTTTTTAGTTTAATCCATTCTGGTAATTCAATGTATCTCCCTGCTCTTGTTGGGTCATATCTGTCATAGTGAATAGTTATTGATAAAATCTTCTTAAATCTTAAATTAGATGTTTAACCTTCTAAATTTTGTATTTGTAATCGGTTTTGAATAACACTATCTATCTTCTAATGCTTGTGTCAGTTCATCCTCATTACTAATATTGAAGCGGGTTGATGGTAGGGCATATACAAGTTCCTGACTTCCCAATTCATTTCCTCCATCATCATATTCAGGTTTTTCAAATAATCCTTCCGTTCTTATATTAAGTTTCATGCTTCTATTATTTCTCAAAACATCCTGATAGTCTTTGTTTTTGGCGCGCAATCATTTCTAATCCCCTTTCTCCTTGAAAGTGTTTGTTTTCCAAAACTATTAAATTAGCGTATCTTCTAAATGCTGATTGAATATCTCTGACCCTGAATTTGTTTTTTTATAGCGTGTTTGGTTAGTAATAGTCTAACCCTTTCTCTACTTACAACATCCGTTGCCTTTTTCATAGCATAACTTCTGTATTCATTAGTGTTCTTTACTGATAGTAGTTTCTTGGTCAAAACATTTGATATGGGCTTGTCTTTGTTGTATCTGAACTTTTTGTTGTCTACGATTATGGACTTCAATTCTTTTCTTCCTTTTTTGTATTTCTGCTAAATCATTACTCAAAAAAATAGTCTATATTTTGTTCATCATATAATAGTATATATTTTATTTAGTTAATTTATCTTTAAGTAGTTTTTTAAAGAATGCTTTATTCTAATCTTTGAATATATACTTAAAGAATAATTATTTAAGTATATTTGTAGCATGGATTGTGCGAAGGATTTACCCATTGATGTGTTGAGTAAAAGTGCTTCTTAAAAATTGGAGACCCTAAATATTTGAAGTTTAAATATTGTCATATTGAGGCATTAAAGAGAATACAAAATAAGTATAAGTTTTCAAGACCTGGTTCTAAAATAACAAGACATTTGAAATCAAGAAAAAATATATACATATATATATAATTGAATACTGTATTATGAGAGAGGGAGTGCCATTTAGTTTAAAAAGTTTAGAAGACATAATATCAGAAGAAAAAGAAGAATTATTATCTTTAATTTATGAAGAAGTAGAATATTACTTAAATTATAGAGTTACACATGATATTGAAGTTCAATTAGTGGCAAAACTACCAGATAAAGAATATGGTGAACATGAATTTAGTTTTAGGGAAATTTACTTTATGGTTGGTTGGTTGGTTCGAACTCCAAAGGACAAATTGGGGGGGCTCCAACAGGGTTATTAAAGGGTAGGGAATAATGTTTATTGTTGTCTATTGTTTTGTTTCAATGGTGTTCTTTGCTTGGCTTGTTTTTGTTTTTTTGGTTGTTATAGGAATTCTTGGAAAAGACATTTAAGAAGATAACCATATTTATATGTAATGGGTAAATTTTGTAGATACTGTGTTAAAGATTTACCAATTGATAATTTTGAAGATGAATTGAAGACTTGTAAGAAATGCTTGGAATACAAGAGAAAGAACTATGACAAACATAAAGATAAAGTGAATGAAACACGAAGAACTAAATATAAAGAAGATGAAGAATATAGAAAAAAGAAACAGGAACAAATACAAAACTATCGTGATAAAGTTGCCTTTTGTAATGTATGTAATTCATCAATGAAGGCACAATGTTATTCAAGACATTTAAAAACAGAGAAGCATAAAAAGGAATTTAGGAACGGTTGATGCATAGGATTTTGTAAAATGAATAAGGTAATAATGCGTTTGACTGCTATGATTTTGAAAAATGAATGAGGTAAGTATGCTTTGACAGCTATGATTTCGAAAAATTGAATGAGGTAATTGTGTTTTGACTGCTATGATTTTGAAAAATGAATGAGGTAAGTATGCTTTGACTGCTATGATTTCGAAAAATTGAATGAGGTAATTGTGTTTTGACTGCTATGATTTTGAAAAATGAATGAGGTAAGTATGCTTTGACTGCTATGATTTTGAAAAATTGAATGAGGTAATTATGTTTTGACTGCTATGATTTTGAAAAATGAATGAGGTAAGTATGCTTTGACTGCTATGATTTTGAAAAATTGAATGAGGTAATTATGTTTTGATATTGTTGAGAAAAATGAAGTAATCAACAATATTTAAACTGACTTTTTGGACTGTTATGTTTTTTTTAATGAATAAATTTGGATTTGCTATACTGCTATGATATTAGTTTAGAAAACTTCACTGAATCAACTTTTTTTACATTTCCCCCCCCCCCCACAACCCTAAAATAGGAGTGCTGGCCAGGCGGATGTTATTCTATCATCTTACTATAGCACAAAACCATGCAAAATACATATATATATATATGCACATGTATATATATATGTATATATATGTATATATATATATATATTTATGCATGTGTATGATTATGTATGTATCAGATATTTGCAGCAGATCCAAACTTCAAGGTTTTTGTTCAACTTGACTTTTTTTGGTTCAAATTCCAAGGTGCACTGGTCAGGCCTCTGTTTTTGAAGATGATGTCTGCCACTAGGCCTGCTGGTAGCACCACAGGTCCGTAGGCATCTTTTGGATGAAGACACCCACGAAGAGCGAGTGGGCTCCCTGGCAAGCTGCACTCTTGAGATGACATTTGATCACAGACCAAACCAGTTGGTGAACAGAAAATAGATTCAATAGATTGAATAGATTGAAACAATAGATAGTCGATGATCAAGTGGTGATTGTTTATGATCAGTCTACAGTAGTCTATGATACTCTGTTATCAAGTGATGTTTTCATAAATGATCATCTGGTGATATTCTAAAATCTATAATCAATCATATGTACAATCTGTTCAAACATATTCGACGAAACACGCAAAACTACATCCAATGGCATCATGATCTCTAGGACCTCTTCATATCTCCCACCCAGCGCATATATACTTCTTAAAAAAACGATGCAATATGGTGCAGTGCAGACACAGCCATGCCACTAAATTATCTTTTTCGGCAGCTCGACTCACTTTCTCCTGAAACAATCCGCAGAACACTCCAAGTGGTGTGCGATTGCTCGCTGCAGGTCACTTTTCAAATTGCGGATGACCACAGCGTTTTGCGATGGTCATCTTTTCAGCTGGCGAACCTTGGAATTCGGAATTTCAAAAGAAATCTTTCCCCCGTCATAGAATGCGAAATCATTTGCGATGCATTAGGCAAAACACATGTCTTTAAAGGTAACTCCTGTGGACTGGAACTCGGTGCAAGACAAAGCGCAAAACAAAGTAGATAGGAAGAATCCAGTTCACGCAAGGCAAACATTAAGTATCATCAAGTATCATCAAGTATCATCAACTTACTCATCTTGAATTCAAAAGGGGTTGAGGGTGGTGAGGGGGGTGGCCAGCAACCTTCGTGCCAAGGCGCTGTATGGCAGCGCGGGAACCAGGTGAGATGAGCGGTTTGATATTTTTTTCCACCACTGACAAGTGTGCTGGGTGTTTCTCATAGACCTGTCGATGGGCATGGCCACGCTGTTTCAACAGTTTCACAGCCAAGGTTCCGCTCCTATTTTGGGGATCACATGGTATCACGAGTCACTAGTTTCAGGCGTCGGGAAAACGGCGAATTTCTGTGGTTTGGGATGGAGATGGATGAAGGGTTTCGGACGGCTTTGACATCCCCTAAACCAGCCCCAATGGAAGTGTCATGGAAGGTGGTCGCATAAAAAAAATATTCGGAATATTTTGGAATTAGATACCCCACCCCTCCACTGCTGCATATTTTTTCGAGATCCATCGGTTTTGTCAAGACATTTTTACACCCCAAAATGGCTACTTGAAAAGGCATATGTCATTCAAAGCAACCCACTTGAAGCTGGCTCATGTTTTCCACAAGACCATGGCTGGAGCTCCGACTTGAGACGCCTCATACTTCTCAATGGAAGCAAAATCCACAAGAGCAGCGATGTTCCGATTGCCAGGCAATGTTTGCCTGCGTGAAGCAAGCGGGACCGCTTGCAATTGATGAAGTACATTGAAGTGCTACTTCGCAACTTTGATTTTTGAATGACCGAAGAAACTCCGCCCGCCCCGAAGGAGCCCAAAGTGTGATAGTTTAGGAGCGAAGCCGAGCGAATCGAACAATCGTGTTTGTTCCTGGTGCAGCTTTAGCTGGCAAGAGCCCAATCCCATGGTTTCTCAATGGTTTCCTGTTTCTGCATTGGAAACTTTGGATCCGTTTGGTGATGTGGGGGGATTTTGACTGATTTTGAGCTGCCCCTAGTTCTAGCAACGTTTTGATCTGCAGGCATTTCATTACTTGGCGCGTTTCTGCAGCTTGACTTGAAGAGGCGCCTTGCCCACAAATCATCAGACGCCTCTTCTTCTCTCCACCTCTCCACCTCTCCACCTCTCCACCTCTCCGCCTCTCCACCTCTCTGCCTCCCCTCTCACTCCCTCCCTCCCTCTCTCTCTCTCCCTCTCTCTCTCTCTCGCTCTCTCTCCCTGCCTCTCTCTCCACCTCTCTCTCCACCTCTCTCTCTCCACCTCTCTCCCTCCACCTCTCTCCACCTTTCTCCGCCTCTCTCAATCTTAAGAAGGGATTGGTTTATATACCGAATTTTTGGAAAAGGAACCTGCGACGCCACAGTTCTTTTTGCAAAACTGTGTGTGTGCTGCAATATACCACGTATAGGGTAAAGAAGGAATATGACCGATCAAAAGAAACCTGCGACACCGCAGTTCTTTTTGCAAAACCTTTCAAAATGGCATTCACTGAAAGTAAAAGATGTGCAATCGTCGAGGCGAGCAGCGCTTGGCGCAACAACATCAAAACCAAACAAACAAGAACCATCAGGCGCAACATGACTGCACCGCTTTGACCAGCTGTCTTGAGAGTCCGTACACGCATATACAACTGCTGGCTTACTCCAAAGGTTGGCCTGTTCCTTGATCTTATGCCTCCGTTGCCTTTTTTACAAAACCAGGAGCAGCGTGTGTTCTTAAATATACTTGAATTTTCCTTGGTTCAACCGCGTGCAGGGGCACTACTGTAAAACCAGCAAAAAACACAGCTTTAACATGGTTGACCCCGTGTTACTATCCTGAAATAGGGATGGATATAATATATAATTTTATATATATATGGTGCAGCGTTGGCCACCCCCCCTCCCCCCCCCACCAATGGGTATGGGTGGACAGTATCGTCTGGTTCTTCTGGTCCCCCCCCCCCCTGTGGCCTGTGGTGGTGGTATGGTTCTTCTGGTCCCCCCCCCCTGTGGCCTGTGGTGGGGTTGGGTGGTGTGGCCTGTGGTATGTGTATGTGGTATGTTGGTATGTTGGTATGTGGTATGTTGGTATGTTGGTATGTTGGTATGGTATGTTGGTATGTTGGTATGTTGGTATGTTGTATGTATGTGTATGTATGTATGTATGTATGTATGTATGTATGTATGTATGGAATGTAAGGTAAGGTGTATGTAATGTAAGGTAAGGTAAGGTAATGTAAGGTATGTATGTATGTATGTATGTATGTATGTATGTATGTATGTATGTATGTATGTGTGTATGTATGTATGGAATGTAAGGTAAGGTAATGTAAGGTAAGGTAATGTAAGGTAAGGTAATGTAATGGTATGTATGTATGTATGTACGTAGGTATGTAAGTAGGTAGGTAGGTAGGTATGTAGGTATGTATGTATGTATATACACCACCACAGGGGCATCATACCCCCCCCCATCCCATGGGGGGGGGGTGGGAACACGGGACACGGGACCATATATATATATATATATTATATGTATAATTAAATATATAATTATACATATAACTATATATATACATAATTGTATATGGTCTCGTGTTCCGTGTTCCTACCCCCCCACCCCCCCAATGGTATGGGTCCCCAGGTTGCACCCCTTCCCTTCTATTTGCAAGCTATTGGCAGCATTTCTGAGGTCCAGCTTCGTATTTGCTAGGTCTTTGCAGCATTTCTGACTACCAGCCTCGCATTTACTAGGTACATGCTACCTTTTAGGCCACCTACGTAGCACAGTCCCTCAAAGTACCTACGTGCTACCTCTGGTCATATAAATATAAACATACATATATATATAATATATATGTACGCAGTACCACACCCCCACCACACCACAGGGGGGAGGGGGGACAGTACCACACCCCCACCACACCACAGGGAGGGGAAGGGGACAGTACCACAGTACTATGGCTGACCCATGACCATGGGCGGGGGGGAGGGGGGTTGGAACGCTGGACCATATATACATGGCCAATGTAATTACGTAAAATCAAATGCCACCAAACGAAACTCCTGCCTACCATTTGGTTGGGCCAAGTAGGCCCGTGTTCTTCACCCTGCATCCCCAACTACCATACTCCTCAACTTCGAAAAGCCGTCCCTGACCTGCACAATTTGCATCTAATCTGGGCGCGGGCCGTACTCGTCGCGGAGCGACTCGAGTAGAGATATCTGGTAAATCAAGAATCTCGAATGTCCACCAAAGAAAAGAAATTTTCCTGGGGTGGCATCCCCGTACCAAATACACTGGAGCATACTGGAGCCCTCAAAACAAATACAGCATTCAGCATTTGGTCCAGAGCTACCCATCCAAGTTGGACACAGCCGCCGCAACGTTGATGCTGTGAATTTCTTCGATTTGCCTTGGCCCCCAATGGCTCATCACATGATCACAAGCTGGTGACTCGTATCTTAGACGCAAGGGTTTGAGTACCTTCAAGAATGGGGGTACCCCATGCTGATGTAGCCATATGTAGCCATAATCTGCTTTAAAAGACCACAAGTGGAGGATGACTTGAGGCACTGTGGCTCGGTCAAAAGAAAATGTGATTCAACTTGTTCAGTATCCAAAACCAGTTGCCTCGAAATGGCTTTAAAACATGTTAATACTAGAAAATGAACATCACCCGTTTTTGTGGGCTGATTGGTAGCGAATTTGAAGGGCCACCAGTCAGCTCAAGCTCCAAGGATCTGTTTCAAATTTCTCAGCGAGCTTTCCAATGTCGAGAACTCCTCCGCAGTGACATCGTCCTTGACGCTGAACATGACGATGTGGTGAGCCCCTGCATCTGGGGAAACAGACAAAGATGGAGAGTTTACCACCAAAACATGGGAGAATGACCAAGAACTCCCAAGTAATCCCCTGGTTTTTTCAGAGGTCAAAATCGCTACTAGCTGCACTAGCTCTGGACGTTCATCCCCCATATGAGTGGCTATAGGTGTTTGATCCATCCCGGGCATGCACTGGACCATCCAATGAAAAGTGGTCCCGTGGTCAGGAGGCAAAATCCACCCCTCCAACCTTCAATCATGGGCAAGGGATCAGCATACCTCAAGATGAGCAATATTTGAAGATATGGAACTGCCCCTCTTGAGTACTTTCAAAGTCACATCTCTATCACCAGCCAAAACTAAAAAAGACCTTGTGAACCTGCAAAAAAAAACAAAAAAACACAACATCACAGAAAACATCACATCCCTCCGAAATGAAAATAAATGAAATATCGAACCAAATCATCCACCAGGACACTGCAGAGTCGCACGGCTACCAGGCTCCATGAGGCTTTCGAAAGCGATCATCATTTTCATCTGCTGTTCGTCATGCTCAAAGGCCTTGGAAAACCCAAATGTTGAGGGCAAGTTGTGTCCACGTGATTTTTCTGGTGTCCATCCGCTCTGGCACTTCAGTAGATATGAGTTGCATACAATCACCTATATGATATATATATATATGTATGATTATTAGTAATTAATAATATATACATTGAATTTCATTGACTCTGTTAGTAGATTTACATATATATATATATAATTATATATAGTCATAGTATTTTTTCATATCTCTACTGTCTCTACTCATCCATCTGCTTCCAGGGCCATTTCGTCCTCCCATCCCAAGTTCCCCTTGGCCTCGAAGTCGGCCCTGGATCTAAAGTCGGCCATCCACACGAGGCCCCGATTTTTCCCGGCCGGATGCGATTGCCCACCTGCCAGGTGACAGGTGAGGTGAAGTGCCCCATAGCCAGCTGACTCAGCTAAGTTGATTCAGAAGCTTTAGCAGGATTTCCTGGCATCTGGCAGCTATCTCTCTAGTTGGATGGCTTGATAATCCTTAAAAAACATCACTGGGGGGCACCTTGCAGGTGATGCTTTTTTCAGTCATACGGGCCCCATTCTATCATCCAAGTCAAGCTGGTCGTGTTTTGGGAAACCAAGGGTGGTGTTTGGGGTACCCCAAGGACTCGAAAAACACCTGTTTTGGGGGGAGTTTGATGGAAGTTTCACAGGTGGTCAGCAAGGATATTTCGCCGCAAATCATAGGGGACATTGACAAACACATATTCGCCGGCATGATGTTATTTTTTAATATGTGTCATGCTGCGTCACGCTCCCCATGGTTGTTGATAAATATCCCTGGTATGTGGCCTTTGAACAAACCACTGCAGTGATTTGTTCGGGTTTTTCTAGCAGAGTTTTTATCGAGGTTGCTCCAAGTTCTGTGGATTTTGTAAGTATTCAAAAATCAGATCATGTTCCATCAAGTTCCATCCCTATCAATGCCTAAAAGGACAATCTGTTGTCCTAGGGATTGACCCAGGTTGATCCTCCAAGGCCATGGCAAAAGAACCCAGCAATGCTAGTGCTGTCATCTACCCTGGACATGTTTCAATAGAAACAGGTTAAACATTCAAAGAAAAAATGATATGGTAAAAACATGGCAATCCTTCATGGCAATGGACAAAAATTTTCCGGTTTAGAGATTCGAATTTCCCTTTTTCAAGGTGCAAGTTTCGGCAGGAAGTCTGCCCGTGCCAGGCCACCTGCCAGTCGCAGGTCTGGATAGACATAGCTGCGCAAGACCTGAGGAAATATCCTCAGCTTGGCAACTGCACCATAGCTTTGCCTTATATAGGGTTACCCCTAAAACCACTGGATGATCATCATTTTCCCTATCCAAATATACTCAAAATATACGTGTTACTAAACTGCGAGTTGGGTGCGACAACCCAAACACCCACGCGGAAGTGTCAAAACCCATGTTTTCGCGGGAAAAGAAACATCTGAAAATTGCGAGAGCAAAGGTGTTGCTGGTCCAAGACTTTCTCTATCGAAGTCTACAGATGTGGCGAGGATCGTGTAGGCGATTTATCCTTTGCTGTCCACTAATCACACAAATATATAAATATATATTAATATAATATAAAACAAATATATATATATATAAATAATCCATTATAATCCATTAATATAATATAAAACATTATAAAACAATATTGTAATATACCTGTCACTTGGATGATTCACAATGTACCATCCCAATCCATCCCAGATATGTGGCTGGTGTCAACCTCATAATGAACGGCTCAATAGCCTAGCAGTGGTGGTTCAAACCCCAATATGGATGTTTAAATCTACCAAAAAAATAGGTGTTGAACAAACCCATCATACCCCGTCACATCATATCATATCACATCATATCATAGTAAAGCATAGTACAGCATAGTCTTGGTCGTCATCCCAAGTATCTGCGGCAGTGAACTCAAAGTCTTCATCATCTCGATCTCCTGATTGATGGTCGTCTCTGGCCGGAAGGACACCAGTAAGACATGGCGCAGCCGGGGTGTGTCATCAAAAGAACGAATCCTTGCCCAGCAGCAACCCATCGTCGTTCCCACAGTCAAGCCAAAAAGCACCATGGTTGCTGGTTGAGCCAAGCTGTGGGCATTCACTCTGGCAGTGAACGGTAACGACGGAAATGATTCAGTTTTCAGTAGATGTCAAGAAATTCACATACCGCACCCGCCAAATGATCTGGTTACCATGTTGTTAAAAGATATCAAAACCTGATGAAGTATCATGAAGTAACACTGTGCCCATCGCCCAGCTTGAATCATGTGGTGACATCGGACTGGACACTCCCAGCCACCAACTCCGGCTACCGCGCCTTGGAAAGACGAAGGGTGGGGTCACCGCCCGAAAAGTGTGACACGTTGTAGTACCATTGTAGTTGTAGCCCTGATCTCGCTTGCTCCAGCCCCCTCCCCATTCATCCCCATTCATCCCCATCATCCCTGTCATGATCACCAACCTTTGTCATGCTGAGTCATGCTCATCCTCATTCTCCTCTCATTCGCAAAAATCTGCTGCAGGGGTCGAAACTGATCCAGCCTCGTTGAGGAAATCTCTGTAACTATCTGTAACTAGCCTCAGGATCTCCAGCTACAGCTGTTGTCAATTTGAAGCTTTGAAAAAATGATCAAATTGGACACACATCTCCTGAAGCCCATGAGTATCTCCGCAAAATTCGCAAAATGATATAGGATGATATAGGAATCTTAGGGTGTCCACTGAAACCACTTGAATAATCCATTTCCATCGGGGAAAAACGGAGGCCCAGGTATGCCCATGTGTGCCCCATTCTTCGGATTCTTTGGACACCACCGCAATGAGTCCGGGAAGAGCCGCAAGCTTCGAATCAGATGCTGGGTTGTACTGTTGTCACTAGCCGAGCCCGCTGCACGCCAGTTGTCCACCGTCATCGCTGAGACGTGCGCATCCTTGGCAGTGAAAGTGCCAGGCAAGCCTATATCGAAGAAGTGGTCAAAGCCAGAATCTGTTCCGATTGCGTAAGGGTATCCTTCAAGAACGTATAATTATGTCATATTATTATTATTTCAAGCATTTTCAAGCCTTTGTTTTGTTTGAGTTCTTCATGAAAAGAACTTCCTCATCCTGGTCATTCTGTGCATCACATTCTGTGGCCAAGATACTGTGAAGCCTGATAGGTCGCGAAGTCGTGTAGGTGGACCTGCGGAGACAGCATCCATCGTTTGGGTGGTGACCCTAGTTTGATGATACAGATCATAGTATCAAGATGTATCAAGTCTAAAAAAAAGTCTCAACATTAATCCATCGATCCATTGATCCATATTTAACTTGATGTACTTCCTTATGTTTCCTTTATTTCCTTTGACTTTCATTCAGAAACGGGTCCTGTGGCGATGCCACCCCAAGATCAGCCCTCCACCATTGCAGTCATTTGCAGTCGCTGAGGCTGCAGACAAGTTGGAAAATTGGACAAGCGATACACCAGTGGAATTGCGGGACACACCAAGTACTGCTAGTCCGGCCTCACGTCTGGGATCAGGGTTGAAGCGTGTGCCAGTATGTGCCAGTGTCAAACAATCCGTTTCGGATCTCTTTCTACTGCTTGGTGAAAGAAACAGGGTGAAAATGTGTCAAAAAACATGTCAAGTTTTTGTTCGTTGCCAACAACTCCATACTTTGATGCAGAACTGCACGACTCTGAGAGTAAATACAATAAATTAAATAGGTAGGCCCTGACGTAATTTGAGGCCTCGGCAATCTGTGCGGGTTGTAAAGCTGCGCATATTCATCCCCACCAGGTTTTTTGGCGAATCAATTGCGACTCTGTCATGTGTTGAGTCTCTGAGATGCCAACGATGTGGAAGCCACAACCATGGGTCGTACGTTTCGGCCCGGTGCAATGGGAGTTGCGTGTGGCAACGGAGTTGCGTGTGGCAACGGCTACACAAATTACAAGGTGCTAACTGGGGTTGTCATCCAATGCTAAACACAACTAAATGCGTTGCATTAACGTTTGGATATACAGGTTTTACCCTACAGCTCCCTTGCAGTTCGGAACTGAGTGAAGGCATTTGCAGAATAAATAAGTATGCGAAAGTGAATGAGCAGAAACCGTGACCTTAGCACAAATTGATACAAATTGCATATCTGTAGGTTGTTGCAGCATCCAACAAAACAAGCCTCTGCCAGCTAGGCTGCAGGCTCCTAACAAATTGCGTTCAGGCACGCCATGTATGCAAGTTGTCAAAGAGTTTGATGTTGGAAAAAATGTAAGGACATTGCCTGAATGCGTACAGACATGGTCAAGCCTGTTTTCACCCAATGTGGCATGAGCCTGTTACAGTTTAAAGCAAATGACTAGAAAACAGCTGCAGCAAGTTGTATTTCATGAATGCTAAGTTGCAGCGAATGATTGGAGCCGTACCTGTGGCCACAACATGTTAACAAAGTGGGCTGTGATGGGCTGTGATCCAATGCTCAACACAATCCAGTGCGATGCATCCATGTTTGGGCTTACAGGTTTACAATACAGCTTCTATACAGCTTCGGAACTGAGCTTGGCAGCTTTAGCATTCTGCCAGCAATAAATTCCAGACCTGACCTAATGCGAACTGACCTGCAAATGCCAACCACATCGTGGAATCAAGACTTCTATTTATCGTGGAATCAAGAAGCTCATATCGTGGAATCTGGATTAAAGTAGACTAAAGTAAACTATCCGTTAATTACTTGACACACCTGGCTACCTACTTACACTTAGGCGTACCTGTACCAAGCAAGCGTACCAAGCAAGCGTACCAAGCAAGCGTACCAAGCAAGCGTACCCAGCAAGCGTACCCTACACCTGTTAGAAATTCCACATGTACATAGCCTTGGCACACCAGTGCGTCAACACCTTTCCAGCAACCACAGTTTTCATGGTCCTTTTAAATCTACATCGATAACTCTCTGCCGTTTTGCCCTCGTTTTAGGATCCAACAGCTCTAGCTGCACTAACAGGCACAACTTCCGATGGTTTCAGCCAAGGACTCCGTTGCCTGATTTGCGAAATTCTTGGGAAGCTGCAATCTTGATGTGTACTTCATTAGTGCTGAGTCATAATAAACAACTTGAGTATGTGACCATGGTTGCAGCATGTTACAAACCAGGTACATCCAGCAGGGTTGTTACCCAATTCACAATCGCATCTTGATCATTCGTGATCACATCGTGTTGCAATTCTACCAACAATCAATTGAGTACCTGAAAGCACTTTCTGCGCGAGGTCAGCAAGTTATTATTGACGGCCACAAATCTCGAAACGGAGACAGAGGCAAGGCTGGACCAGCCACGGGATGCCACGGTGCATTTATCACCGCTCAACTTCTAAGGGATGCTGGAAAATGAGGACTGTGTTATCCTCTTTTGTCCTCCAAAGCATCCAGCTAAAATGTCTGAGAAGCGCTAGCAGCTGATCTTGCTCATTTCTCCAGTACGGCCGGGCCGTTCTTCTGCAGCTCAGCCAAACCAGCCTCAGCAGACTGCTGAAATAACATGAAATAACCATATCGATTCAATCAATTCCTCTCATTTCTCAAGACAGCCAAATTTCATCAAAGTTCCATGTTGCATGTTGTTTTCATCCATTTTCATCCATTTTTTGATCACTCGTTGATGTCAGTATCGCTGGGCCTCCACACCTTCAAACGCTCGGCCGCCACAGAGCACTGGGCTGAAGGCAGGTTGGCATAGCACAGCCGCAGTTCGCCCGGAGCACCTGACATCGGGCCACCCACCATGGGCCACCATGGGCCACCTGTGCAACCTGGGCAACCTGGTGTGCAGCTCTGGATGGTGAAATATGGTGAAATAATATCAAAAAACATGCCAAAAACCTCCAAAAACTACTTGAGGGAGATTACAACCTCATCAAAAAATGTCATCTATTCCTGCTGCCAGGGAGCCACAAGCAGATCCAGGAATTGCGCAGACCTTGTGCCTCAGAGCCAGCCTGGTCCCTTCATCCAGCACAGTATGCAGTCTCATTGGGTAGGGAATAATGGTAACTTATGGAACTTTGAGAAAGAGCCATTTGGTTTACAGGATAATAATGGATAATATGGATAATTACAAATGAGACAGTTTACAATACCAGTACTAGTAATAAGATGATGTAATAAGTAATAAGTAAGCATCATCATGATCATCGAACACAATCTCAAACTTCTCAAGGTCTCCACAATCCTAAGGCCACCGCTTCTCACTCAACCATTCCACCACACGGGTGTCCTCGGAAGTGCGTGGCACAAAAAATTGCCCCACGCTGAATTCAAAGTCCAGGATCATGATCCAGCATTAACCACTGAATCAGTATTGGGAAATGAAGCTTGCTCATTATGTTGCGAATCCCTCAAATGAACGGTTTTTAATCCCTCGTCTCCGAGAGTTTGTAGCTGTCCAAACCTTCACTTAGCCCGTCTCAAATCTCGAACAGTACCTTAGGCCTTGATTGACCAAACAAACACGCAGGACACCACACATCCTTGAGCCAGGAAACATTTTCAAATCCAGCTGGCAACTTCACCATCAAATAGATGGCACCAGACCCACCTTCCAGCCCACTTTGGGTTTTGATGTCTTGGAATGGTTTCTTCTTAGTTACATGACTTCCATGGACTTACACGGTGTTCTTTCAGGTAGAAAACTCACCGTTTTATGACTGAAGATGATGAATGTCAAAACTCCCAAATCAGAAAGCTGTGAGCTTTTGGCCGCGCCTGCCACGGCACCTTTCCCCAAGGTCTCCTCTACAGCGGCCACGACCAGGCGACGGTTCTCTTTCAGCCCTGTGACGTGATCTTTCCTCGGCCGAAAAGGATGCGCAAGGGCATGATCCGGGCTGTGGGAGATCTGCGGCAAATTCTTGGGAAGAAATGATTCAAATCAAATCTTGAAGAACTAAAATTAAACCTTGTGGAATCTTGTGGATGTAAACCAGACAAGATCAGGACCGGCCAAGAGAAATCAGTACAAAAGTCCGTTCTTTTAGACGTAAGTAAGACCAGAATCAGGTGTAGTGACGCGTTTCCTTTCGAACACCACTCAACATCCAAGTGGATCATATCTAGTTACAGTCTCTTCAGGGTGATGTTTCGAAATTCCAACCCCCAAAAAAAGGCACCACATTTCCATCCACAGCCTGGGACTTACCAACCCCGGCTGAGTTTCCCCACACCCACTGGCGTCCACTTTCCAACGCAGCCATGGCCACTTTCTGCGAAGCCACGGCTGGGCAAATGGCAATGGTATCCTGCACCTGGGCAGATTCGTCAGAACACGGAGTTAGGATAAATTCACAGGACAAGTTCAAAAAACGATGGAAACATATGGGGAAAATCATGGGGATAATGTAGTTTTAAAAAAACTCATTAGTTTGGACATAGGTCCGGAAACACCATCGGAAAAATCTTGTCCGTGTATTTTTTTGCTTCGCCATGACCGGTCTGTGGGCCTTCATCAGCTCAGGACCAAGGCTGGGGGGAAACGCCTCGGACACGGCTGACGTCTTCCCAATTTTCCCAGGCGTAGTTTTGGACGGTCAGGATTTGACTGGCCAATCACTGCGAAGTTCATTGCGAATCAAACACAAAAGCTCGAGGGCCCCAAATGAAAGTAGTCAAAGAATATGAAGAAATGGTAAACTCAGTCATACTCAGTCCATTTCCATGGGTCAGCTATGACTTGTCTTGATCTTTGACTCTTTCCAATCTTTGATTCCCGTCCCAACAGTCTGAGGTTCAGTCCAGGTAGCCTCAGCTCATCCCACAGAAAGTCGGCTCATTACTGAGTTGCCCCTAAACTCATGCTAATATTGGTATGGTTGGAAACATGCAGAAAAAAAACACCTGGGTGTTCAATGAAAACAGCCCACTGCCCCTTTCTGGCCCTCCAACCTTTGGCCAACTTTAGCCCAAGTGCCTATTCTCCAGCCCATCATGCCGAAGGCTTTGCTGAAGGAGAAAACGTTCACCACGTGGTCACCACTGACGCAACAGTGGGGAGCGTGCCCTTCCTGCATAGGAAAGATGTCGTTTTGATGGTCCAGAAAAGGATATCTTCAGAGCTGGATCCCACCTCCTCATACGTGAAGTGTTCATAGGTGTTGTCAACCACCATCCATACTTGGTGCCGCTGGCATGCGGCAGAAAATCGTTCAAGCCTTCCGGGCACATGAACCAGGGAAAATCAGGGAAACTAGTGAGCAAAAGAATACTTGGCTTCCAGTGAATGTGGTTAAACCCGATCATATCCAATAAATTCCAACCATATGTCAGAGTAAATCATACTCAATTGGGGCTTATGATTATTGGCTTTGCCACCAAATCCACCACTGTGTTGCCGGGCAAGTCTTTTGGAAGGATCACGCCAGTTGGATTGCCAGGGTTCACCTCCAAGCTTTCAATGTTTCAGACAGAAGTCATGCTTAAAGATAACGAGTACTGAGTACAAATCAGGAATGGAAGGCATCAACACTAGACAAAGGCAAGGCCCCACATCCACCAACCACCACCATTCCGCTTTTACAAGATAGATCATGCGCCGTGGAATCACACATGGACTTGATACATCTCAAGCAAGCCTTGGCATCAAAATTGGGTCGGGCACAGGTCAAATCCAACCGCAAGCCAACAGCTTGGCGATGAATAAAATCAAAATCTAACTTGTGGGGCTTCCCAGCCACCAAAATCACCAAAGCTGAGCCCCTGGCGATTGTGACCATCCGTATCCTCTCACCATTGGCTTGTGATAACCTCCACCGGTTGCGGGTGCCATAGCGCCACGGTGTTGGCAAGGTTGATGGCCATCAGGTGGGTCACTCAATGTTACTTATCTCGAACTGGTCATGCGAAGATCCCCCAAATTTCAAGGATGTGTTGGGGGGTTCCAAGGCAGCTTGACTGTTCATGTCGATCCAAATAACACATGGCCGACATGGCCTCTTCTCCAGCCACTCCACATCTGGAAGATAATCCTGCCGTTCACAGACTTCGAGGCCATTCCAGGCCCATAATGCTGGTCATTGGACTGACCCCATGGGCCCATCCTTGGTCGACGGCGCCAGGACCACATTGGCATGGCCGCCTGTCATCTGCAGCGCCATCCTGTCAGGACCAAGTTTCGATGAAAGTCCTATCATTCAAAAACAACTAAAACAACAACTACCTGCAAGTTATCTTGTGGTTTTTAAAACCTCCTGAGAACTTGCATCGTCACTGGATATGTGTTGGAAACCCAACTTCACTGGAAACTGGTCTCGCAGTGCTGAGCTGCCCACCGGTGGTTGAAGTAGAATGGTCTGAACAGAACTGCTGAATCCTGGCTCGGACAGGGACATGGGGACGTGTTCCTGTAGTGCTGTTGATGTGTATGTCATGGTTGCTGCTAATTACTGGCATATTAGCACCACAAAGCGATCATAAGATCGGGAATCATGCTGCTTCTGGTCCCCATCGACCCATGATTCTCAGTTGCTCAGCGGTTCCTGTCCTTCTCGTCCAATAGGGTGCACACCAAATTGGTGTAGGCTTGATTAGCTCCAGCCGTCACCATGACCTGTATGATCATCTGCTTATAGGTTCAACATGGTTGAACCCAGCCGGCCCCGGAAAGACATGAAACTGAATTTGGATGGAATTGGATCATGACAGTAATTAGTTGCTGGCCGGAAATCAACCACATATGTACTTGATATACGTGGTTGCAGAATATGTATCATATCCCGGTCAAATGATTGTGAGATCCCCAAGTTTGTAGGTTACAAAAAGATATGTAGTTGTGCTCCTCTATATTTGGGATTACTAAAAACATAGTTGTAGTTAAATATCACCAGGCATGCGAGTAAAATATTTGAAGGCGCCAAACAACAGGTAACTCTCGCGCTATGCCATGCCTCAACACCCTCCAGGCCGTTCTCTTTCTTCAATTTCTCCTGAAAGTAAATCCACCCAGGAGGGTGTCATAGGCACTGAGCTGATTTCAGGGAACTTCATGGTTCAAACTTGAAACTGTGGCTTCGTCATAAATTACAGTAATAATATTTGTTTAGCCAAAAAATGAACCAAAAAATTGGTAAATCTTCCTGCAGTTTGTCCACAAGGTTCAACCACTTTGGCCCGATCCCCAACAGGTCCGCCTTCAAGGCTTCGCGAAACTTTGGCAAGCCATCATCTGCGCCTATTCGGCTCAACAAATTCTGTGGAAACCACCTCACCATACCATGGTCTACCAGGATTTGGGGGTATCCGACATTTTGAGACAAACACATATCACCAACAGCCGCGGTAGGCAAAACCATTATAACAATATGTAACATGGGAATCTCACCAATTTCACCAATTTCTGGGCGCTGCCCAAAATCAACGAACTCTCAAATCTTCAGGGGATGAAAACGAAGAGTTTGAGGTATCCAGGTATATCCAAGTATATCTTGGGAGCACCCAGATTCACTTTCAGAAGTCATCTCAAGCCCGTGGTCTCTCAGTTTGTCTCTGCTCAATTTCTTGAGGGCCAGGCCATAAGAGTTGGTATCAGGCTCTTCTGCTGCCTTCCGCGCTGCCTGAAATTTTGAGCAGGTCCAATCACTTCAAGTTTTTGAGAGAGCACGTCGTCAATTCCTCAGCCAATGATTGGCACATATTGGCACCACCCATTCACAACAAGGTGAAATAAAGGATCTTCTTGCATCAATTGCCAGTAGACTAGAGCGACCCGCCTCCAGGGCTGCTGCAGGTGGTGCCCAGTGCACAATGCCCTGGGCCAGGGACATGATGCCCTCCTTGCCACGTAGCATGCGCTGCCTGGCAGTCTTTTGAGGATACATAAGAGATGGGTCAAAATTGGTATCTAATGGTGATATTGCTGGTATAATGGGGATGGATGTGTATGTGTATATATATATATACATATGATTACATATGTAGATAAACACTATATATATATGTGTGTGTACCCCATACTATGATTTAATGCTAATGTTGATGGTATATTGGATGATATGATCTACTACAATGGGGGAATGCCCACAATTGCAATTTCATTGGGAAAATGATGATAAACCATGAGATTTGGAAGACCATTTTCATCCACTCTTCAAGAAATGATATTCAATGAATATGACAAATGTTACAGAACGAGACGCGCTAAGCTGTTGAATTATGTTTATGGCCCAAGGAAAAAGTGAAATGTTACGTATAAAAGGTGCGATTGAGTTGATAACTTATATGGTCATCCAAACACATGTATACTTGTATAGTATATTTAATCCCATCCTTGCTTGAATACGTCCAAGAAGAGACCCCGACATGAACCCGTATATCCCCTACATCGGGTTTCTACTTTCAACATCTTTCAACCCCATGGTCAGTCCAAGACGCATGGCAACAATGCAGGGCTCATCGGTAAGACGTATCCGTTTGCTGGGCCGCAGCTCCTCCGGGCATCCAGGCTGAAAGACTCGGCGGTTGTCATTGGCATCCGCAACAATGCGTATAGTAATAATGTGTATATATATATACATATATATTTATATATGTGTATAATTTATAGTGAATGAATATGATTATATATAATATTATATAATTATTATGTAATATTGTATAATTGTGTATATAGAACATGTCATATTGCATATATACAATTTTAGATGCCTTCCACCACCGATTATACAGATGTCGCCAGGCACAATGTAGCAGTCCTCAGACATCGCAGTGAAGGGCCTGATCTCGCAACCGCGCCTCACATGATCCCTTCACCAGTCCATCGTTGTTTCTCTTTCTGTTTGTTTAAGGACCACTGGTCTGTTGTTGCCTGTCACCAGATGTCACGTGGGCACCCTGGTCAATGATTGTCAGGTCAATTTGTTCAGGTCCCTGCCTGCAGAAAGAGCTGAATACCACCAGGGAAGCCAAAGAATTAACAGCTCCCCTGACCAGTTGTGCAGGTCAAAGAGCAAGCGTGAGGAGGTTGAAGATGTCTTGCATGAAGAGACCTTCTGAAACACCTGCACTTGCCCAATCCTCAAGTTGCTGAATTAGAGACTCATCGCACCTCAAAGAAACACATGAAATCATTACTTCTTTGCTCGGTGGTCGAACCAGATCTCAAAAAAAAACAAGTTCCACAAGTTCCAAAATCCATTCCAGAGGAAAACAAATTTGAAATCACAATCCACTTCCATAATCAGTGGACTGGCATGTCTCAACACCTCCACCACGTCGCCTCTTGCTTGTGAGCGCGCGGTGCATGGGACTTCTGAATTCTACCAGCCCACACAGCAGCGACTGGCACACTGGAGGAACTCAACCATCCTTTGGCGAAACTGAAATTAATGGTTTCCTGCAATGGACCAAGACATGGTGGCCTGGAATTCAGCTCTTGAAACACTGAAACTGAAACTGCTGATGTTTAACCGTGCTTCGGTGCTTTGCATCGGACCATGTTCGACCAGTTACTGGACTGCAGAAAGGTTCCAAAATGAAAAATCAGCAGCAGCTTCCATTGGAGTGCACCATGTTCTTCGCCTCTCCGCCCAAGATGCAGAGCCATGACTGAAGAACTTTGTAATCAGCCATGGCAGCGATGGCGAAAAAAGCATGGCCAGTTCCCCGTGAGTTTTTGCCCAAAGGCGATATCTACAACCTACTTAGTCTGGCATTCCGTTCTATCATGCTTTCTGGTTGATATCGCCAGGGTTTGGTGCTAAACCCCCAATTGAAAAACGCGTCAACCAACTTCTGGGCTGAACTGGACATTGCTCACTTCTCCCATCCTTCCGCCTCAGGGCTTTCCCAGGAGGCTGGCGGCTCTAACCGTTAGCAGCAGCGCTGTCCAGCTGTGACTTCGTCTCAACGAAACAAGCGCTGACAAATGGCAGTTTGTTGGATTCCACTGGAAGCCCAGTTGAAGACCTTTGGGCGGCCCTTGAGCTATGGATGTTGTAGAAAGTGGAGGTAATATGGAAACATCATGGGGACAAGAAAGGACAAAGGATAGAAGACCAAACAGGGATCCTCTGTCTATGGACTGGACATAATTGAATTAAAGAAATTAGATGCATGGCTAACATTGCACAGTCAGAAACTCTGTATGAGCCAAACAAGGCGTGGGAGTATGGGATGCTATTCAACAATGCACGGTCAGCGCATCCGCCAAAACTTGAAGCAGCTACTAGTTGCTCACATTCAAAAGCTGTGATTAGGACCCATATCACGAAATATAGTTTGTGCATGTTTGTGCTATGATGTATTGTGAAGTGTCTTTTGAACATCATCCCAGCATATCCCTGCAATCCACAAACCACCTCCCAATGGAAGCATTCCTGTCTGCCTCCATGCTATGATTCGATCCGGTCCGCCATACTGGCGCTGAGGACTGGCTCAGGACTGGCAACACCAAATGCTTCGAAGGAGACGATTCGTTTTCTCCTGCGAGTCAAAGGAGATCATTCTGGGGACAGTGCACCCCATTTCTTGCTGGGGACCAGTACTTGAATTCATTTGTGTACAGTGTACATGGTTGCCTCCTGTTTGGGGGGGGATGTCAGGCTACCCCAAAACCTTTGGTGTTGCTGGGCCTTTTGTGGACCCACAAAAAGGTGCACCTGTCGACCATTCGAAATGGAAGGCAACCTGGAGATGTTGGGTTGGACATGGTTGGACAAGGATTCAGCTTGGCACTCCATGATGACTTCAAACTTGGGGACCCAATAAGCCTCAAAGTTTGATTCGGGTTCGGAACTAAAACCATTCTGTGTTGGTGGTCAACAATTTCTATCCATGGCCGACTGGCTAAATATTGCTGTCAAGTGCCATAAAGATACCCAAAAATTACTTCACCTGCAAAAATGATTGGCACTTCAATCTACAGAAATGGGTATGGGTCAATACCTATAGATACATTACTATAGTGGGATGAACATCCATAAATCCCAGCTATGAATTGGTGTTCACCATGGGTATAGGGTTTTGACCCATCCCCAAATGGCACTTCAATCTACAAGCCCCATTGAGAGCCACTTGCCCAACTCAAACGACTCACCAATCCCTTGGGATCCCTTGGGCACCCTGACCACTTGCCCTTGGATGCATCTCTGCGCCCTGGGGGCAGGAGAGATGGATGTGACCAACTGCCCCAAAATATTGATATTCTGATGATATTAAAATATCACCAGATATTAGATGATATTAGATCTTCTGATGATATTCTGATGATATTCTAATATCATCTAATATCTGGCCTCACCCTCTTTGAAGCAAATACCAACAAACTTACAGCAAAGCAACTTGTAGGTCACATAATCTGCAGTTGAAAGAAGTATTTCTTCGCCAGATCTTGCCAATCACCCTTTAGAAGCCCTGCCACTCCTGAAACAGAGCACCCTACAACATCGAAACCAGATTACTCCTTTTGCCCATCTCCACCACGTAAAAAACAAACAACATCCCAGCATCCCTCATGAAATGTCCAAAATTTGCCTGATGGATCCAAACTAGCAATCTAGGTGGTTCAACTCTCATTTCAATTTCATTCTTCGATTTCTTGTTCCTAAAACATCAAAGACGAAAGTCATCCCTTCAGCTGTGCCTGGGCCACTGCCTGCAGTGGTGGGCTTGGCATATGCCAAGAAGCTCTCCTGCTGAGGCCGCTGCGCCTGATCGAAAGTGGAAGTCTGTTGTTGGCATCACCAGATGTTTTTTTTTAAAAGGTCCTTATGCCATCTTATGCCATCCCTGAGAATGAATTGAATCATCTCATTTCAATCTCATTTCCATTTAGCCTTGATTTATACCAGGTTCCATTCAAAATTATCCAAAATCATCCAAGTTTTTCAGCTGCACCTCGGGTGCCATGGAGCCAGGTGGCCAACGTCCCGAGCCCCTGCGCGGCCGACATTTGTTGGGAAATCTCCATCGATTTTCTGGAATCATGTGGAATCCTACCCCAATATATCCTAGGTCCTAGGCCCAAAATTAAGTATGTGAAAATATGTGAAAATCAACTAAAGTAACTAAAGTATGCCAAACGGCTGATATCCCACCAACAAAAACCACCATTGTTGGTCGGAACTTTGCGCGCCTTGAACTGTCAAGCCACCCAGTCGCCACCCAGTCCTGCCTGGAAGGTCGTCTCTCAAGGGCTGGTGCAACACCCGTCGGCGATACAAATCCTTGGAACACCGAAGATGCAAAGTTGCCACTGGCAGTCAAACTTCGATACTGAATCTGACAGTGATCCACATGAATCTAGAGTCACCTTGGAACGTATCGTGGCGACATGTTCGGAACTTTGAAATGTAGTTGAAATACACCGACACTTAGACAGATGTGCCGCATCACTCCGGAAGGCAGTTCGGACAGGTCATGCCCTGGATGTTTTGGAAATACTTCGAGTTGCTCCATCTGATACAATCTGAAGATATCTGAAACCCCCGGCCAGGACTTGCTGGCATGGTTCCCATGGACCGTCGGGGAGCGTGGCGCCTCCAAGGTGAAACGTTGGAGATGGCTAGATGGACCGGCTAAACGTTGGAAAACCATGCAGAGTGTAGGGGATGCTGTCGGGGATCTATTTCAGAAGGATATATCTTATGAAGTATCCAATATTTCTGATGAAAGGATATGAAAGAGTATGGAAGGTATTTAGGACATTTTGGGCAAAGAATGATGTTTCATCCGTTTCATCCCAAGAATTCGGAAATACTAGGACCCATCATGACCCATCATGACCCATCCGTACTTCCAACATGTTTGTACTCTTGCCACAGGCCAAATGAAGCTCAGGTCCACACAACAACTCGTTCATGTGCGGTTGTTCGATCCCGCAAGGAGGATAGACCTGTCGAGCGAACAAAGGCCGAACAAAGGCCACCCTTTCTATTTCTGAAATCATTTCCCCTAAGATCCATCATGATCCATCTTTATCATTCTTTATCAATATGCTGAAAAATTGTTTGATTTTTTTAAGCTACCCATAACAAAATCATGGCGAGCTTGGTGCCTCCCGCCTGCAAAGTCCGACATGCGCCGTGCATGGCCTTGATCTCATGCGACTGATCATCCACGAAGATCGCCTCATGGGATTGAGGAAACAGCAGGAAATCCAATGGAAATTTAAGGGATTTCTGTAATAAGAGTTACATATTACATATTATATCCACTGACCACTAAGTCACTATGTATCATTATATATAATATTATATATGATACTCAAGCAACGAAAAAGCGCTAATTGACAAAGTGTGGCCATATGATGCCATTTCCTCTGTTTTTGATCTTTCAGCTGTGCTGCTTAAGCTGAACGGCGAAACTCCCTGAGAAAATTATCGTCTTCAGTGAACAAAACAAAAAGAGATCCTACGAGATGGATGAGAACATTTTTGACATTTTTTGACTAAATAGTTGGAAATGTTCAAGGAGCAACATCCAGCAACTGTGAACAACCGAGGGAACCAACAAGAATGGGCGTGCAACCAGAAATGATGATGTTGTAGACCGTGACATCACCACAGCAACCGAGGATCTCAGATGATTTCAGGACATCAAAAATGATATGATAAGAACAATCTGAGAACAACAGAACAACCACGAACAATCCAATGGAGAGCACCAGCTCCACCAGCCCTCTATGACCTCATCGGGACGAATACCACGCGAGAGGATCAACTTTTCCATGACATCGCGCTTGGAACCTGCGGAACACTCCAATATAGGTATAGATTTAGTTATAGTATGTTATAGTCAACTATAGATAACTATAGTTCATAGATCAAGAACAGCTTGAATTTGTGAATCATCGTGAGCATGGTCATCCTGATCTTGTTCACCATTACAGCTAGGCTTCAGGCCCCACTCGGACTGTTGCCGTGTGCCCTGGCCAGGATCGATGGCATCATTGCATCTTTTTGAAACCAACTGAGAGATTATGAGAGGAAGGCTTGCCCGGCGCCTCGTTTCAATGGACATAAAAAAAAAAAAAAAACTATATATATCTGGGTAAATTCTAATATTTCACTAACCTGAATTTTAGGGCCATTTTGGGATGATTCCCCTTACTAACTATGATTCCAGTGAGGTCGCAGTGAGGTCGTTATAATTTACCCAGATATATATATATATGACAGTTGAAAACCCTATCAGTGGTCAATGCATGTCAATGCCAGAAGTGGGGCTTCACATCTCGATTGGGCCGTGGATAATTGATGACAACTGTGGATGAAAACACCGCACCCTGGAGAAGATCAAAATTGTTGGTAAGTGGATGTTCATCCCCCATTCATATTGAAAAATGATAGAGTTATTGAGTGCCATAGTCCCTGCAACCCCATCATCAAGCCCTTGTTGGACGTATCTTTGTTACTGACCACGATTGGTTTTTGTTCTTGGGCATACATATTTCTAATCTACGTACAGTAGATTTAATGTGTATATATATTATATGTGAATCTGTAACATGTACATATGTATACATGTATACATGTATACATGTATGTATGTATGTATGTATGTAATGTAATGTAATGTAATGTAATGTAATGTAATGTAATGTAATGTAATGTAATGTAATGTATGTATGTTTATGTATGTATGTATGTATGTATGTATGTATGTATGTATGTATGTATGTATGTATGTATGTATGTATGTATGTATGTATGTATGTATGTATGTTTATGTATGTATGTATGTATGTATGTATGTTTATGTATGTATGTATGTATGTATGTATGTATGTATGTATGTATGTATGTTTATGTATGTTTATGTATGTATGTATGTTTATGTATGTATGTATGTTTATGTATGTTTATGTATGTTTATGTATGTTTATGTATGTTTATGTATGCTTATGTATGCTTATGTATGCTTATGTATGATTGTTGTAGATTCTCTATGATTATCTAGTTGTCTATGATTGTCTATGAATTATCTATGATTATCTATGATTATCTATGATTATCATGCATTAATCTATGTTATGTATGATTATGTATATTGATGTCTGATTATGTATGATTCAGGTATGATTACGTATGATTACGTCTGTTATGTATGATTATGTATATTTCTGTATGCTTATGTATGATTATGTATGATTGTGGTGTCTGATTGTGCCTGATGTGCAGATTGTGCATGATTAGGCATGATTATGTAGGATTATGGATGATTATTATGATTGTTATGATTGTGTATGATTGTGTATGAATTGTGTAGGATTCTGTATGATTCTGTTGATTTCTGTATGATTCGTAATTATTATGTTGATTATGTATGATTATGTATGATTATGTATTATTATTTTGATTATGATTAAATATGTATGATTATGATGCTTATGTATGATTATGTCTGGTTCTGTCTCTTATTTCTGATATGTATGTATGTATGTATGAGTATGTATGAGTATGTATGAGTATGTATGAGTATGTATGAGTATGTATGAGTATGTATGAGTATGTATGAGTATGTATGAGTATGTATGAGTATGTATGAGTATGTATGAGTATGTATGAGTATGTATGAGTATGTATGAGTATGTATGAGTTTGTATGAGTATGTATGAGTATGTATGAGTATGTATGAATATGTACGAGTATGTACGAGTATGTATGAGTATGTATGAGTATGTATGAGTATGTATGAGTATGTATGAGTATGTATGAGTATGTATGAGTATGTATGAGTATGTATGAGTATGTATGAGCATGTATGAGTATGTATGAGTATGTATGAGTATGTATGAGTATGTATGAGTATGTATGAGTATGTATGAGTATGTATGAGTATGTATGAGTATGTATGAGTATGTATGAGTATGTATGAGTATGTATGAGTATGTATGAGTATGTATGAGTATGTATGAATATGTATGATTATGCATGAGTATGTATGAGTATGAATGAGTATGAGTATGTATGAGCATGGTTGAGTATGGACGATTGTGTATGATTGTGTATGATTGTGTGTGATTATGTATGCTTATGTATGATTATCTATGATTATGTATGGTTATGTATGATCATGTATGATTATGTATGATCATGTAAGATTATGTATGACTATGTATGATTATGTATATATGTATGTATGTATGTATGTATGTATGTATGTATGTATGTATGTATGTATGTATGTATGTATGTATGTATGTATGTATGTATGTATGTATGTATGTATGTATGTATGTATGTATGTATGTATGTATGTATGTATGATTATGTATGATTATGTATGATTATGTATGATTATGTATGATTATGTATGATTATGTATGATTATGTATGATTATGTATGATTATGTATGATTATGTATGATTATGTATGATTATGTATGATTATGTATGATTATGTATGATTATGTATGATTATGTATGTATGTATGTATGTATGATTATGTATGTATGTATGTATGATTATGTATGATTATGTATGTATGTATGTATGATTATGTATGATTATGTATGATTATGTATGATTATGTATGATTATGTATGATTATGTATGATTATGTATGATTATGTATGATTATGTATGACTATGTATGATTATGTATGATTATGTATGATTATGTATGATTATGTATGATTATGTATGATTATGTATGATTATGTATGATTATGTATGTTTATGTATGATTATGTATGATTATGTATGATTATGTATGATTATGTATGATTATGTATGATTATGTATGATTATGTATGATTATGTATGATTATGTATGATTATGTATGATTATGTATGATTATGTATGATTATGTATGATTATGTATGATTATGTATGACTATGTATGATTATGTATGATTATGTATGATTATGTATGATTATGTATGATTATGTATGATTATGTATGATTATGTATGATTATGTATGATTATGTATGTATGTATGTATGTATGTATGTATGTATGTATGTATGTATGTATGTATGTATGTATGTATGTATGTATGTATGTATGTATGTGTGTATATATATATATCAACCGTATGTACAGGGTATGGTTCATTATTGGGATTGCCAGCCATTGCTCCCGCCATTGCCCCCAGCGCACCAGATACTTCACATCATCTCCGAGGTTGGATCGTCTCACCTGGCTGTCATAGCCTCAGTGTGACGCCGGCATACCACAACCATGGGACAGTGATAAATACCTAAGGCAGCTTACTACCCAGTTGAGGATTTATTATGTGCGGATAATGACAATGCTGGTTTCACTCGTAATACATCATCTGTCAAACCTAATTTTGAGGGCCAAGGTCATGATTGACCCCAGCTTATGGTGAATCATGGTCGCACAGCCACTTTTTGGCCATCGTTGGACTGCACCCCCCTGCAGCTATGCACAACGATCCCGTTGCGAAGCACCCAATTTGAGGCTCTAAGTAATGTACACATTGCGCAAAGCAAGGACATCAGCAACAGATTTTGTGACATGTCCTGAGTTCTGCCATGTGTCTTGGTTGCAGCAAGAACAGCTTCCAAGCTCCAGAAGTATTTTTTTCATCAAAATCAAAAACTCTCACCTGATGCTTCATATCCCCCCTGTGCAACAGCAGTGTTCTCTCACTGCTTTGCTCTCAGCTTCCGTGGCTTTCGGAAAGCCTGCGGTCGTGCTGATGTTGGATCTGAGGGACACTGAGATCACACTGGCGCTGGATCCTGCCTATTTCCTATGTCGTCTTCGGAGGTCTTCCACGGCGTTTTGGTGTAGAAGCCTCCTGGCGACATGGCACTGCCTTCAGATCAGCAGAAAGACATATGTTTGATCTGCAAATTCTAAATTCTATGAGGTCTATTGGGGGCAACAACTGAACTGGCAAAGAGTTGTCACTGTGAACACACTGCAAGATTTGCTTACATTGCTGATACCAAGTCGTACCACCACCGTCGAAAAAACATGGACGTCCAGCGCCAAGGAACGTTATTGCCCCCCACCCCACCCCAACCCCCCACACGTCTCACGTGGCAACATGTATGCGCGTGCCAAGGAACGTTATTACCCCCCACCCCGCCCCAAACCCCAAACCAAAAAAAACACCAAAAAAAGAAGAAAATGTGCGTTTCGTTGCGTCGAGATGGTCAAAATTTACAAAAAAGCGCTCCCGCTGTGACGGCAAACACGTGATAAAGCAAAAATAATGTTTCGTTACGCGGCCTTCTACGTGCGCCCAGCCAACTACTACTATGTATATAAGTGCTGATCTTAACTCAACACTCAGCACTCAACAGCACCTCGCCTTACCCCCCTCCAGTGTACCGGGTCCTTTGCGGCCGCTTTGGGCATCGCAGTCTTTGCTTTTTCAGCCTGAGGCCCACTCCAAAACTTTGTAAATTGGGATCTGTAGCCTGAGGAACATGCCAAAACCGTTTGAAGATGTTTGAAGATGTTTGAAGATGTTTGAAGATGTTTGAAGATGTTTGAAGATGTTTAAAGTCTGAAGATGTTTGAAGCACATCGTAACATATCGTAACATATTCACCAAACTTCACCGGTTCTATCACCAACTTCTGGGCTCCGAGCCTCAGCTTTCTCCCTCTGCAGCTTGGCCTCAAGCTGATGCTGAAGTCATTGTCATTGGGACCGTTTATCACCAGGTTTCTGATAGCTTCTATGTGAGGCTAATATGTCCTAAACGCATTTTGGGTTCGGATTGGGTTAAAGATTAAAAAGTTCCCTTTCATCCGCAAGGGCCTCTGCCAGGGCTTTCTCAAGCTCGGTCTTTCTCTGAACCTGCAAGAGCAAATCTCTACAGCATATGGTCATGCACCAATCATCCAGAACTGTCAGTTTTTTGTCGATCTGGAAAGAATCAGGACATATCAGGACACTGGATGGAATGTGAGACCAAACGTAGCAAATCGAAAGGCTGCCGGGCTGCCGGAAACAAACTATGGCCCTATGACCGTCATATGACCTGCCTCTTTGGCCGCTTCTCCTGCTTCCTGCTTCTTGGCCTGGGCTGGGACTGGGACGCCATGGATTTGATTTTTGAATCGGTTTTGAACATGAAGAATTTGCAGAATGATTTATGATGTTTTTTACATGTAAAACAACAATTAAGGATTGATAATCCAACCTCTTTCTCTCTTGCTTGGTCTTCCACCCACGCTTGTTGTTCTGTTTATTGGTTTCGTCCGCAGGTTCTTTTTAAAAAGCCCAGATTTGCTAGTTCTTTCTCGTAATTTTGTGTCTTCCTCCGTTTCCAGTGGTTTCACGGTCCTCTTGTTCCATCATTATCTCCTGACTTATATCTTCAAACAAAATGTAGAATCAACGATATCAAAACTGCCAAAAACAATGGAATTATAATGAAAATTCTGCCATTTCCCCATCAAAGCCCACCATCCATTCCCTGCCTGCAGCGTTTGTTCCAAAATGTGCTGCTCCTTCCCGGCCCTCTCCGCCGCCGTCTGCGCTGACTGCGCGGCCGCACGGGCCTTTGCAACATGGATGATGAAGCTTCCAAAAATTGGGTAAACAGTAAACCTTGGGTGCGCTCGCTTTAACCAGGTGATCCCGTGGTTTATGATCATTTTCCGATTGATGTTTCCATATAGAATTGGGTCTGACACGTCTATGGATCGAGAAAGTGGGGATTCAACTATTCAACAACGGTGGGGATGTTCGACCCATTTCAAAAGAATCTCTTGGATGACTTCTGCCTTGGATGTGCACAGCAATGCAGTGCGGCGGTCCATTGTTCTGGCCAATACAAACCAATCAAATGGTGAACATCCACGATCATCCTAGAAAAACGAACACCGTGAATGAACTACAATGTCTGAACCAGTGGTGTCTTTTGGTGAGACCTCCACACATTAAGGTGATCCCCCAGTATTGCCCCCCAGAAGTGTCTCACCTCAACCTGGCCTTGTCGGCTGCTGCGGTGGCCCTATCGAAGCTACTCTGAAGCTTCACAATCTCCTGGCCGACAGGAACCAGCTGAAGATGAACGAAAATTGTTTTGGAACAATGTGGTGGCAAGATGTGGCAAGTGTTCAAAAATCATCCACAACCCCCAGGAAAAAAAACTGGAAAAAGAAAGACGCCAACGGTCAACGCATTTCGACTAATTATGAGCATTGTCTGGGGTGGTTTCCCACCTTCCAACATTGACTTCTTATCCCATCATGTTTCACAAAAAAATTGTTTTTCCAATCCCAAGCCGCCCAAGCCCAATCTCACTAAATACGTCTTGAACCTTCCGCCACCATTTTGTATCATGCTCCATTCATGTTCCATATGATCCAACATTCTCCATATTGTCCGATTCTATCCCATAAAAATGCTTGGTTATGGTGGGTTCACCCATACAAAAATGGATCAAAAATGCTTGGAGCGGTGAACCCCAATGGATCAATGGTGGGTGAAGCACCCCATCCAACCCCCAAGCCCCATACACTGCCATCCTGCTCCAAGGCTGGCAGCCGCTGCTCGGCCGCTTTCGCCTTCTCCAGCGCCATCGAGGCACTCTGCTCGCGTTGCAGGCAGGCACCCAGCGGGTCCTGGCCATGGCTGGGTGGATGGCGTGTAAATTCCAGATAGTCTTACCATAGACCATAGATGTAAAACAGGGATGTGGATTTTCTATGATGATAATCATTTCTGTATACAAAGATTTAGGAATTATGAGGTATGATATCCGTAGGTGCATGATGAAAATGGATAACAAACGGATTCATACTACATTCGCACTTGATCAAATGTCTTGATATAGTTGCTGCTTGGTCACGGTAATTTAGTTGGCTCCGTTTGCTACATCTTCCCCAAATTCATCTCAGCCCTTGCTCTTCCTTCTTGTCCCCCTGCCGCACCTGTTCTTTGGCAGGGCTTTGCGCCTGACCAGAGCAACATGGATCTATTCAAGAGCAGGCCTACCTACACCCCCATGTTCATAAAACATAAATTGCACCCCAAGGATCCCCAAGGTGCCTTCTGTGCTGGCTCAGCTTGTGGCTCCGCCTTCTTTGCACTTGCAGCCTTGGGAGTTGGCTCCCTGGGTGGTGAGGGCTGCGGCGCAGCTGGTGCTGGTGGAGGCGGCGACTTTTCTCTGATTCTCGTCCTTGGAGCTTCAGGACTTGCCGGTCTGGGTTCAGGTGCAGCCTTTGGGGCTGGAGATGCTGCTGGAGATGCAGCTGGAGATGCTGAAGATGCGGGGGTCGGGGCTGGGGTTGGAGCTGGAGATGCTGCTGGAGTTGGGGCTGGAGGGGAGGCTGTTGCTTTTGGTGCTGGGGAAGCGATTGTTTTAGGTGCTGTAGGTGAGGAAGCCGTTTCTGGTGCTTTGGGCGTTGCTGCTTTGGGCGCTGGTGACTTGGGCTTTGCCTTGGGAGTGGCTACCTTTGGGGTGGCTGCTTTTGGTGTTGCCTTGGGTGAAGCAACGGACGCAACTGAAACCGCAGCTGAAGGAGCTGGACTCGAAACCTTTGGACTCACTGCCGCCTTCGCTGCGGCCTTCGCTGCGGCCTTCGCTGCCTTGGGGCTGGCCTTGGGGCTGGCCTTGGGGCTGGCCTTGGGCGACAGCGGCATGGCCTTCGCCTTGGCCTTGGGCGTGGCCAGCTCTGAAGCCGTCTCCGGCACTGTGGAGGCTGCGGAACGCCGGGAGGCTGAGGCACGGGGCGAGGCTCCGGAAGCAGCTGGTGGGGTGAAGTTGGGCGAGACCACATCTGGGGCATCGGCCACTTCATCTGCAGCTGCAGCCTTCAGCCTGACATTTTTGGACGTTTGGCTTTCAAAAAGGACTTCAAGATGGACACTCAAAAGCAAGAAACTTCTCCAATTTTGGGAATGACTCATGTCGATCGAATGTTGATGCTCTGAGACTCTTCGAACGGCACAATCAAACATTGGAATCTTTGGAGAGGCTGAACTGTTGAACACTGTTGCTCTGGTTGGTTCAGGGTGTTGACAGGAATACAGCAACCAATCTAATACCAATCTATAACCCCCAGCCATTGTATAACCTTTTCCCTTTTGATCCCTATAGTACAACCTTCAAGAAAACATCCATCATCATGCATTTTGACCCATTTGCCCTCCCTTGACTGGCTGCAGCTCTGCATAGCTCAGCTACTCTGACCGTAAATACGTCTCAGCGCCGACCGTGACTGACAGGTTCTCCAAAATGTACCTCGGCTGTTGGATCCTCACCGCTGGGCGCCATTGATGAGCCTATCTACCGACCAGGAGACTAGCAGTTGGAAATGGTTGCTAGGCAACTTCGAACACAACCTCTGATTTCAAAGCCATCTCTCACAAAGGGCAGAATTGTGTTCTCAATATGAAAGTGATTGCTTGGGGATGCAAATAGTCATGTGCTGTCTGTAGCAATGGGATGACATCATTGAAAGCAGCGTAGATTGACGGCAAACACATCAAACTCCGCAACGAGGTAACACGAAAGTCAATGATGTTGGCTTGATGAATTGAAAGACTCTCCAAGTGTACTTTTGTCTGTGCCTCAAACAAGTAGGGAACGTACAGATCTACATTTCAAAACAAGCCTTTTATCCCAAATCTGTGGATCTACCGTAGTTGGTGTTTCTCACGAACTTTGTCTCCCTCCTAACCTCCAACTTCTGTGTTGCATAGTTATGTCCTCATCTGCGTACAGCCTACATCAATGGGGTTATATCATGTTATATCCCCAGCATATCCCCATTAGATCCACTATGCATGATATTACACACCATGAACCTACCATAAACCCTAGGTTTCATGCGTTCCCAGTTGCTGCAAACTTCTCACTTCACAATCAATGATGGGACCGCCATCAGTAGCATCAGCCCACAACTCCATGGCCTGTTCCCCGGTGATCCATACAAAACGAGTTTTGGGATAAACCATGTGCAGAAAAAACCAATGTATTGGAAATGTATTGGAAATGTATTGGAAATGTATTGGAAATGTATTGGAAATGTATTGGAAATGTATTGGAAATGTATTGGAAATGTATTGGAAATGTATTGGAAATGTATTGGAAATGTAGGAACATGGAAAAATGGAAAATCATTTCTGAGTTTTATCAGTTATATCTGTCTCTTTCATTAAAACGCCTGGTTTCTGCATGGAGTTCTGCCGGACATTGCAGAATGATTTGCAAATGACCTGCAGACATAGCTGGAAACGGTTTGATTTGTCTGCACGTTCAAGCTGTCGACAAAAGTAGCAAATGGACACCCTTTGTCCAAAGTGTAAATAAATCCAAAGTGATGATAGTGATAGAAACATTCTGGAGTATCAGAACTAGAAATCAACTGGTTAGCAGAAAGTCCCAGCCAACTCATCTATATTGGTATACTTGGAATACAGCATGCGACAGCGTTGTGGGCAAAATGGTTTTCAGTTGATCTTGGGTCTTGGGCTGACAGGATTACCATGTTTGGGGTTCGTCTCAAAACACGTGATACATAGTGATACCCCAGTTGTTTGCACTTAAAATGAGGAAAAAATTGATAAACCATGGGATTTGAAGGTTCCAAATTTGAAGAAACCTTGACTCAACTGACCTGTCCATCTCTTTTTGAGACGGCCTGTGCATCTTCTTGCCATCTGAGTTTCTGAACCCAGGCTTTGAGTGGTTGCTAAGTTACTAATCCAACACTCTTAGAACATATCAACACCATCAAAAACGGCAAAACACCATTATCAACCTATGATGTGAAACCTACATGTGTGTGTATATATATATATACACAATAGCAATTATTATACATGTGCATATATATATATATATACGGTACGTATAATATATATATATATTATAATACATGTATAGTACTATATCTATATGTATTAGGTGACATTTAACAAATATCACCGACAGTCAGCATCTCCCATTCCACCTGCCTGCTCCTCAGAGATGTTGCCCTCATCTGCGAAGCCTTGGGCCTTCTCCAGGAGTTCGCGGTCGCACTTCACGCGGTCCACGGTTTTGAAGAAACCGCCTCGGTAGATGGAGAGAATTGGAGAGAGAAAGGGAAACATGACCACGAAATGGTCGTTTTCCCATTAAAAATGGTGGTTTTCCCATTAAAAATGGTGATATAAACATGATATAAACATGATATAAACAGAACCTGAGAAGGGGTGGAACGAAAGCCAGCGCTTGCTTTTTGACTCGCGCGGGGGCGCGTGAAACTCCACCTCATCCATATGGCATGGCTCAAACATGAAGCGCCCCAACATCAACAATTGCTATCGGGTCATAATTTTCCAATCATTAAATGGACCTTTTTAGGGTAAACTCCACGATTTTGTAACTTCTATATCCAAATATGTTTCCTACAATGTACTGCGGCATTGTGAAAAGTTCTATCTCAAGTTCCGTAAATCCGCCTTTGGTTGCTCATTTATCTTAAAACAGCGCAAGTTTGCTCCCACCTATTGTAGATAAATAATACCCGCTTTTTTGTGTGAACAGTGGTCATGTGACCTCTCAAAGTCTAAATTGTTTTCTCCCCAGAATCGTGGTCCATGCTTCTCCGCGAAGTTCCGCAACATTTTGGCCGTACGGTGAGAAATCAAAACATAGCTCTACTCGCAAAATGGGCAGTGCAAACCCAAGACAATATTATAACATACGTAAGAAAGGGTATAAGAACGAATGAAAATCGAGGAAAACAATGCAAAACCCACGGGAAATATAGAACAGTGGCGAACATGCAGTCCAAATCAAAAGTATATATATTTAGGCCATTTACAGACCTGGGTACCCCCCCCCCCCCCCAAGGGTCTGGAAAATAGGTATTTTACAGGAAATGTCGCGGAATAGCATCATCCCTGACATCGATAGAGATAATTGTTTGGCATCCCGGAAAATCTTCTCAGCTATCACACTCGCCAAACATCCCTTTTAAAAGGCACACATACTATCACGGACGTACAGATGCATATCATTCCCGTCATTGCCATTAGAAGATTCAAATTCTTTCTCGATGTTTTAGTACAAGATTCACTTTTAGTTCTGTTTCAGCCTTCTCAGTACGGCCTCTTACAATGATATTACAGCATTTGTCTCCTAACCTAGGTGGCTCCTGGGCGCAATCTTCATTCCAATGCTTTGTGACAATAACCAGAGGCCTGGAGCCTATGCATCACTTGACAGTCGACTCAGTTCTAAACCGGAAAGACTATTCCTTCCGTTTACCAGTAGATCGTTTTTGTAGTTCTTATCACAAAACTACCAGAATCAGGGAGGCACCAAAAAACGTCAAACAGCTTTAAGCATTATAAATACTCTAATCTGCAGATTGTATTTATTTTTCTTACTCTGTGAACGAAATCACACTTTTCTAACTTCACACAGATTACCATGAAACCAATTTTCCCATGCAACTCCTAAAATCTTACAACTCATACATCTTTTTTCCTATACCATCCGCATCTTGCTCCAAGGTTTCATGGCAATGTCTTGTACGCGAGTCAGCCACTATTTCCTATCACCAAACTACATTGCTCATCATCTAACATTATCTACAGAAACCAAATCGGATTTCCTGCTCAACGTTTCCGCTCGTTGACATTGTCTTGGTTTTCACTATATTTTTTAAAGCATTTTTTAGTTATAACATTTTCCTAGGTTTTCACTGTATTTTTCTAACATGTTACATGCCTCCTAGCATGTTCACGCGTGTCCTCCATGTTGTACTGTTTTCTACATCGTTTCCTCTAGTTGTTACAAGCATTTCCTAGCTTGTACACCGTTTTCCTAATATTGTCACAACTTTTCTTCCAGTTTCCACTGCTTTTTCTACCGTTTCCTGTGGTTACTTTCTTCTCTTTTGTAGGTTTTCACTGTGTTTTGTCCAGCTTTTTTTATTACATGCTTCCTACCATTTTCACCGCTTTCCTCTATGGCTTTTTGTACCATTTCCTCTCGTTTCCTGCATTTCATGCATTTTCAATATATTTTTCCAAGAGTTTTACCCGTCTCCTTCAGTTTCCGATCGTTTTTGCACCATTTCCTCTGGTTGTTATCGCATTTTCCTGCACTTTCACTGTATTTTTCCAGCATGTTTACTGCATCGTCATAGTTTGTTCCTAGCAGTCGCTCCGGTTTCCTCCATGTTCCAACAGATTTTGCACCCTTTATTCTGGTTGTTATCACATTTTCCTGCCAGGTTGTTATCACATTTTCCTTCACTGTATCTTTCCAGCATTTTCCAGTGGATTTTGCACGATTTCCTCTGATTGTTATCATGTTTTCCTGCAGTTTCTATATCCTCTTCGTGGGTTTTCAGTCTGCTCATGCATTTTTAATCTAGTTTTCCAAGATTTTTACCCATCTCCTTTTTGCACCATTTCCTCTGGTTTGCTGCATTTTCAATGTATTTTTCCAAGAGTTTTACCCGTCTCCTTCATTTTCCGATCGTTTTTGCACCATTTCCTCTGGTTGTTATCGCATTTTCCTGCACTTTCACTGTCTTTTTCCAACATGTTTACTGCATCGTCATAATTTGTTCCTAGCAGTCACTCCGGTTTCCTCCATGTTCCAACAGATTTTGCATGGTTTGTTCCTAGCATTTTCCTCTGATCGTTATCATGTTTTCCTCAAGTTTCATTGTATTTTCCAATACATCCTCTTCGTGGGTTTTCAATATGTTTTGTCCAGCATTTTTTTACTACATGTTTCCTATCATTTTCACCTCTTTCCTCCATAGGTTTTTGCACCATTTCCTCTGGTTTCCTGCATTTTCATACCTTTTCAATATTAATATTAATCCAAGAGTTTTACCTGTCTCCTTCATTTTCCGATCCTTTTTGCACCATTTCCTCTCGTTGTTATCACATTTTCCTGCACTTTCACTGTATTTTTCCAGCATGTTTACTGTATCGTCATGGTTTGCGCCTAGCATTCGCTCCGGTTTCCTCCATTTTCCAAGGGATTTTCAATGGTTTGTTCCTAGCATTCGCTCCGTTTTCGTCCGTTTTCCAGGGGATTTTGTATGATTTCCTCTGATCGTTATCATGTTTTCCTGCAGTTTCATTGTATTTTCCAATACATCCTCATGGTCTCTCCGGCCACCAAAAAGGCGGACCTAGGGGGAATCGATACCCCACCGTCAGCAAATTGCCTAGTGGTACATAATCCAGCAAAATGCTCCGTTTTCTCGCGCTCAACACAGGGGCACGGCGAGATTTCGTTCCCTTTCGGCAACCACCCCCCCCCACACCCCCTATTCTCACTTCGTTCGCAAACAGCAACTAGCCAGCTAGCTGGCTTTCGTAATAAGTCATGAAAACAAAAATTGGAAGAAACTTTTGATCAACCATTGAGGTTGAAGGCTCTCATGCAAAACCACAAATTGGGCACGGCCATTCCCATTTTGGCACTGTTTAACATCACTGGAAATAGTGGTAAAATAGTGATAAAAATTCTCATGTGTGCTGGCTAAATCCACAGTGCCCGATTCAATCTCCCATTGAGCGCCCCTTGCACCCCAAACCCAGCACAATTCAATCATCCTTCGAACCAGCCAGTGACTTGGCTGCCATGTCAATAGACCCAGGCTCCTAAACAAAGCAAAAATGCAGTACATGCTGCATCAGCAAATTCCATGAAGCTACATGGAGTTCCAATGAGTTTCAATGAGTTCCAATGAGTTTCATGCAGCCAAGGCACCAGGTTTCCTGGGATGCAATTTGGATTCGAGGTATCTGCTGGCCTTTTGGGAGACGTTGAAATGCTCCAAGACATAGGACAGCGTCTCTTTCTCCAAGGCTGTGAGACTGCCTTGGAGCAAGGCTGAAGGGCTGCGGTCTGAGCAGCTGGAGAACATAGCAGCACCATACATCATCCCACAGATGACCCTTTGACACTCACGTGCTAAGTGGTTTTCTCTACTGGCTGTGCCAAAACAAGTGGGATCCGGAAGCATGCCTCAACTCAACGCTTTTATGTTCATATGAGGCACAGTAAGTACCCCGCCCGTTGCCTAACTGGTTCGACTTCGACTTCGGGTTCGGGTTCGGCTTCGGGAGTGACATTGGAGAGGGGGTGCGGAACGATCGACTTCGACTTCGGCTTCGGCATGGATCCTGTAGGTTCCTGAGAAATGGATCTTGTAGAGGATCCGAGACATGGATCTTGCACAAGAGTTGTGTAGAGGATCTACAAAAATGGAATATTGTAAGAAAAGAGACCTGGATCCATAAATACGCAGACATGGCTCTTGCACAAGTGCTTTGCAGTTACCCTATGAGAGTCTCATCTTTGATTTCCCTGTGTATTGGTTCGACTTCGGGTGGCGAAGGGGTTTGGTGGCGTTGTCACAGCACGGAAGCAAAGCAGGCAAAGTCTGATAGAGGGGCGCCCTACATATACTGGGGATATAGTAGGTGGGCCTTAGCATCCACCATTGTGGCGTTGTCACAGCACGGAAGCAAAGCAGGCAGTTGTGGCAGGTCATGGCAGGTATGCTCACTATAGTGACGTCGTTTTATTCTTCTCCTTCTTCGTCCTATTCTTCGTCGTTTTCATGTTTTTCCGTTTTTTCTTCCGGCTTGTTTTTGTTGTTGTGTTGGCTGTCGTTGCTGCAATGGAACGCTTTGCCCCACCCGCTTTTTTAGTCGCCCCTCCTCCTTCCCCTCCTCCTCGTCCTCCTCCTCGTCATGTCTGTTCGCCGGTGACGTCTTTGTCTCCTTGTTCTTCGTCGTCGTCTTCTTCTGCTTCTTTTTCGTGTTCTTCTTCCTGTTTTCTGGTTGTTGCGTTGATGCTGCTGTTGTCGCTGCAATGGAAAGCTTTGCGGGGGCAGGGCGCCGCTTTTTTAGCCGCCCTCTACTGCTCCTTCTCCTCCTTCGCCTCCTGTTCCTGTATGTTCGCCGGAGATGCCCTAGCGTGCACCTCTGCAATGTTCGTTCTTCTTCGCGCGGGTCCTCTCATGAGCAGGAGCAAAGCAGGCAGTTGCGGCAGGTCGGGTGTTGAAAGAGAAGGTCGCAGCTATATTCAACAGAGGCTTATATGAATATCACGAATTGATGAGGGATATTAGGGCCTTATCATCCACCTTTGTGGCGTTGTCACAGCACGGACGCAAAGCAGGCAAAGTCTGATAGAGGGGCGCCCTACATATACTGGGGATACAGTAGGTGGGCCGCCTTCGCATCCACCATTGTGGCGTTTTGTCGCAGCACGGAAGCAAAGCAGGCAGTAATGACAGGTCAGTTAATTGCAGTAGTTTTGTGCACGCATGGCCAGAGAGCAGTGGAATAGCGGCCGAGGATTGCTGCCGCGAGGGGTGTATCCGACACCGTCTCACATTGGCGCACCAGGACCGCCCGAAACCACATGCCAGCAGGGCCAGGTTGCCAGAGGGGGTTGGTCTTCTATGGGCCAGTCCAAGGGGAAAAAGCTATGACAACAGTCATCAGGGGCATCGTGGATGGGCCTTAGCTTTTTTAGCCGCCCCTCTCCTCCTCCTCCTCCTTCCCCTCCTCCTCGTCCTCCTCCTCCTCATGTCTGTTCGCTGGTGACGTCTTTGTCTTCTTGTTCTTCTTCGTCGTCTTCTTCTGCTTCTTTTTCGTCTTCTTCTTCCTGTTTTCTGGTTGTTGCGTTGATGCTGCTGTTGTCGCTGCAATGGAAAGCTTTGCGGGGGCAGGGCGCCGCTTTTTTAGCCGCCCTCTACTGCTCCTGCTTCTCCTTCGCCTCCTGTTCCTGTATGTTCGCCGGAGATGCCCTAGCGTGCACCTCTGCAATGTTCGTTCTTCTTCGCGCGGGTCTTCTCATGAGCAGGAGCAAAGCAGGCAGTTGCGGCAGGTCGGGTGTTTGTCGCTTCGTGAAAGAGAAGGCCGCAGCTATATTCAACAGAGGATTATATGATATGAATATTAGGATATTGATGAGGGATATTGTAGGTGGGCCTTATCATCCACCTTTGTGGCGTTGTCACAGCACGGACGCAAAGCAGGCAAAGTCTGATAGAGGGGCGCCCTACATATACTGGGGATATAGTAGGTGGGCCTTAGCATCCACCATTGTGGCGTTGTGTCACAGCACGGAAGCAAAGCAGGCAGTAATGACAGGTCAGTTGATTGCAGTAGTTTTGTGCACGCATGGCCAGAGAGCAGTGGAACAGCGGCCGAGGATTGCCGCCGCGAGGGGTGTATCCGACACCGTCTCACATTGGCGCACCAGGATCGCCCGAAACCACATGCCAGCAGGGCCAGGTTGCGGGTTGGTCTTCTATGGGCCAGTCCAAGGGGAAAAAGCTATGACAACAGTCATCAGGGGCATCGTGGGTGGGCCTTATCATCCACCTGTGTGGCGTTGTCACGGCACGGAAGCAAAGCAGGTAGCAATGACAGGTCAGTTAATGGCAACAATTTTGGCGCACACATGGCGAGAGAGCAGTGGAACAGTGGCCCAGGATTGCCGCTGCGAGGGGTGTATCCGACACCGTCTCACATTGGCGCACCATGACCGCCCGAAGCCACATGCCAGCAGCGCCAGGTTGCCAGAGGGGGGTTGGTCTTCTATGGGCCAGTCCAAGGGGAAAAAGCTATGACAACAGTCATCAGGGGCATCGTGGGTGGGCCTTATCATCCACCTTTGTGGCGTTGTCACAGCACGGACTGGGGATATAGGAGGTGTGGCGTTGTCACAGCAGGGGTCTTGACAGGTCAGTTAATTGCAATAGTTTTGTGCACGCATGGCCAGAGAGCAGTGGAACAGCGGCCCAGCATTGCCGCCGCAAGGGGTGTATCCGACACCGTCTCACATTGGCGCACCATGACCGTCCGAAACCACAGGCCAAGTTGCCAGAGGGGTTTGGTCTTCTATGGGCCAGTCCAAGGGGAAAAAGCTATGACAACAGTCATCAGGGGCATCGTCGGTTGGCCGTATCATCCACCTTTGTGGCGTTGTCATAGCACGGACTGGGGATATCGGGGGTCTGCACAAAGCCTCGATCGTGCATCATCCCATCATTTTTTGTTATAGAGGAAGGGGCTGGGGAGGTTCGACTTCGGATTCGGCTGCGGGGTCGGTAGGCATTGCAAGGAATTCCTGCATAAAGCCTCGTGCATCATCTTATCAAGCGGGTTTTTTTGTGGAGGGTGGGGGTTGGGGAGGTTCGACTTCGGGTTCGGCTTCGGGTTCGTTAGGCATTGCGAACAATTTCCGTGCAAAACCCAGCAAACCGTTTTTTTTTTTGAGGGGGGGTGGGGGAGGTTCGACTTCGGGTTCGGCTTCGGGTTCGGTGGTCATTGCGAGCAATATCTGCACAAATCCTGGTGCATCATCCCATCAAACTGTTTTTTTTTGTCGAGGGGGGGTTGGGGAGGTTCGACTTCGGGTTCGGCTTCGGGTTCGTTGGGCATTGCGAGCAATTTTCGTACAAAGGCCGGAAGGGGTGGGGGAGGTTCGACGTCGGGTTCGGCTTCGGGTTCGGTGGTCATTGCGAGCAATATCTGCTCAAATCCTGGTGCATCATCCCATCAAACTGTTTTTTTTGTCGAGGGGGGGTTGGGGAGGTTCGACTTCGGGTTCGGCTTCGGGTTCGTTGGGCATTGCGAGCAATTTTCGGACAAAGGCCGGTGCATCATCGCAGCAGACCGTTTTTTTGTCGATGGGGGGTTGGGAAAGTTCGACTTCGGGTTCGGCTTCGGGTTCGGTGGTCGTTCCGAGCAATGTCTGTACAAAGCCCGGTGCATCATCCCAGCAAACCGTTTTTTTTTTGAGGGGGGTGGGGGAGGTTCGACTTCGGGTTCGGCTTCGGGTTCGGTGGTCATTGCGAGCAATATCTGCACAAATCCTGGTGCATCATCCCATCAAACTGTTTTTTTTTGTCGAGGGGGGGTTGGGGAGGTTCGACTGCGGGTTCGGCTTCGGGTTCGTTAAGCATATCCCAGCAAACTTTTTTTTTTGAGGGGGGGGTGGGGGAGGTTCGACTTCGGGTTCGGACGGGGCTCGTTATGATGAGGCACCATCACTGGCATCATCCCAAATGGCTGCCACATCCGCAAGACTCAGTTGCCCAGAATTTCTGGCCGCTGCACTCTCAGCCGTCTCCAACAGAAGTCGGTCGTATTTCACACCATCGATGGTGCCTGAGGACAGAGGCGGACGAAAAGGTCAATGGAAACCAACAGCAAACGTGCACATCGGTCGGTGTTTTCAACGTGTTTCAACACATCCCAAGAAAAAACTGTCAACCTGGATTGAAAACACACAGTTCACACCAATTGGACATACCACGGTGAGCATACGAGTTAAAATGGCACCCAGGGCTCTCTCACATTTGCGGACTTGTTGATCAGAAGATTGGTTTGATTGGACATTTCCGTTCTTTTTGGGCTAGTCTTCACATGATGGTTGGTGAATAGTACCCTCATATGTACACCCCCACAATCTGTTGTCAAATTCTCATTCTTGCCTTTATTCCCACAATTTGTTGTGGAGTTCCAATTGTTGTTGGTAAACTGTCGTAAATCCCCATCTTTCCGCTACACACCCATTGGTTCCTCCATCCTGCAACCTGAGGGACGGTACAAGGGTTCCTCCCCCGTCTTGGCCCGCTTGGCAGGGCTGGCCATGGCGTCCCGGCGCTGAAAAGCCAGGGCACGACTTTTTTTCAAAGGGGGCAGGTGATGTCCCTAACTTGGAAAAGAACATGAATTGAAATGATGGAAGCATATATGGAATCCCCCAAAGGGTTCCAGGGTTAGCAACTTGGGTTTTTGTTGAGTTATCGGTCGTTAAAACTTCTGCATTTGGGCAACAGTCTTGGCCAAGCTGATTCAGCTGCTTTGAAGCTCGCTTTTGGTTGCAGTGAGACCATCTTCTCTCCTGGTACCGTCTTATTAGTAGACGACGGTCCATTAGCGTATTTTGCTTTTTGGCAGCAGAAAACCATGAGATGTTCCTAGTCATTCGGCAGCTCTTGAAAAATGAATGGCTATTCAAGTAGTCAGCAGCAGAGTTCATCCAACATACACTTCTGCCGATGGATACCAGGGTGTGGCTCTACAGTTCATGCAATTTTTATCAATTTTGCCGCTTCACCAGCCAATTGTGATAAAAGTTGCGGAGAAACTCTGGGCCACTTTTCGATCCTTCCGGTTTTTTGATCCTCTAAGCCAGTTCTTTGTGGCTCATGGAGGCCCTGTCCAAGTGATCGCATCATCTGCGCGGGGCGGAATTGCAGAAGATCACAAATAACAAGCTGCCGACAAAGGACAAAATCCACTCAGCCGAGAGGATGGGAGCACCCCTGGGTCATGTGATAGGCACTGGTTGGGGAAGATGGATGGGGATGGAAGGTGTGTGTGTGTGTGCCCTTGCAGGTAAAACCAAAATGATTCATGATGTTCGCAACCTATTTGAGTTGGAAACCATTGGTTGGTGCCATCTGAAAGTATTCTAACTAAGGCTTCTAATCCCCAATGATTGGTAGAATGGACGTTACCAGCTCACGTTCCAGTGACCTCTACAAATGGCAATTTGTCTCTTTCGACCTGCTCTACCCTGGCAGAAAAACATGGGCCATATATCACTCATTATACTCATTATATTTAAATATATAATATGATGTGTAAAAAGTATGTATGTTATATACTGTATTTACATATAGTATTAAGACGTAGTATTGATGTATGCGTGTATATATATATATATATGTAGTATTCGTATACGATATAATTATATATATATGTTATATATATATATACAGTAAATAATATGTATGCATGTATGCATGTATGCATGTATGCATGTATGCATGCATGTATGCATGCATGTATGTATGTATGCATGTATGCATGTATGCATGTATGTATGTACATATGTCTGTCTGTATGTATGTATGTCTGTATGTCTGCATGTCTGCATGTCTCTGCATGTCTCTGCATGTCTCTGCATGTCTCTGCATGTCTCTGCATGTCTCTGCATGTCTCTGCATGTCTCTGCATGTCTCTGCATGTCTCTGCATGTGTCTGCATGTATGCATGTATGCATGTATGTATGTATGCATGTATGTATGGATGTATGTATGTATGTATGGATGGATGGATGTATGGATGGATGTATGTATGTATGGATGGATGTATGGATGGATGTATGTATGTATGGATGGATGGATGGATGTATGGATGTATGTATGTATGGATGTATGTATGTATGTATGGATGTATGTATGTATGGATGGATGTATGGATGGATGTATGTATGTATGGATGTATGTATGTATGGATGTATGTATGTATGTATGGATGGATGTATGGATGGATGGATGTATGGATGTATGTATGTATGTATGGATGTATGTATGTATGGATGGATGGATGTATGGATGTATGTATGTATGTATGGATGTATGTATGGATGTATGTATGTATGTATGGATGGATGTATGGATGGATGTATGTATGTATGTATGCATGGATGGATGTATGTATGGATGTATGTATGTATGGATGGATGGATGTATGGATGGATGTATGTATGTATGTATGGATGGATGTATGTATGTATGGATGGATGGATGGATGTATGGATGGATGTATGTATGGATGTATGTATGTATCTATGGATGTATGTATGTATGGATGTATGGATGGATGTATGTATGTATATATATATTATACGTATATATACGTACATATAATATCTACATGTGTAGTCTCTATAGTATGTCCCATGTGATATATCAGAATCATACTATATCATACTATATACCCACAGCATTTTCCGTTGAGTTCATCCATAGCTCGCCTGGATCTGACGGCGGGCGATGTCAACGATTTGGATCTGGGCAGCTGAGACTCGTCCGGCGTCACGGCAGGGTCCAGCCTCGGTGTCTCATGGCCTGGGAAATCCCATGAAATCCTCGACAAATGGAGGTTTATAGCTAGGAAAATCAACTCTATCCATGAAAGATGGACAACTTTGCCACAGTTGATTAGCAGAGGGAAATTTTGAGAATCATCAACTGATAGGACATTTTGAATATTGGGAATAGTCCTGTGGGAAATATCAATGGGTTTAAGCTGACAATTTGAAAAACCTGATAGGAAATGGAATTCTAATCCTATATTATATTCCCTCTATGCAATGGGAATGAGGAACGAACATGTGATCATTTTATAAGAAATCTAAAGGGACCTTTAATGATGATTTCCTATAGCTAATCAATCCTATAATCAATGGGAAGTGTCATGTGAATGTTGATGTGAATTAACTTTGTTTTTTCTTTCAAGTCAGAATTTGAATGGGAACCATCATGCCACAAAAATGGAGTTCAGGTATGCGACAACATCAAAGTCAGCCAAAGTGTTTTTGCCCGAAAACTGGAAAGAACAAAGAAAAGGGCATGATGATCCGCAAGCGAAATGTCAAGTAATAAGGCCGAAAGAAGAAACAGCACATAACAGCACAACAATTGATCCAGGCCTGCAAAAATAAGACTTGAGAGCAGGCGGAGGCGGACGAAAGGTAGTGTAGTGGGAGAGGAGTGGTGTCAAAATGCTGCGCCCCTAAGATGATACACCAAAAACGTTTTTGCGCAGTCTAAGAAGATTTTCATCCAGAGCATGACTGCATGATACAGTGTCTTGTGCAGCGTGAAATGATGCACGAAAAGGGGTTTATTTAAAACCCCTTTTTAAGACCCCTTGCAGCAACTGTTATTGAGGCTGAAGCAAACCAATTATGCTGGACTACAGGGACATCTCCCTCATGGAGAGTGTGCCTCTACTGTGGCGGACCGTGACCGCGTCACGCGTGGGAATTGAACCCATGACCATTTTAGGGGGGGGGTGGCTTGGACTGTTCCGTTCTATGTGACGGCTGCGCTTGTGAAGAAATAGAGCCGTCTATTAATGAAACATGCATGCATAAGTCCAAGTATTATGTTTATAAATGCTTATCATACATGGATCAAAATACATGTGTATGTATAGACATACATACATAAGATTACATTACCTTACTTTTCGTTACGTTAGATTACATAACAACACATAACATAACATACACAACCATACATAATGACATACTAACTAAATGCATACATGCATAGATACAGACATAGAAAAACCCATACAGGCATGCATTCATACGTATGCATACGTATACAGAGAAGCACGCGGGGTTGGCGGGGTTGGCGGGGTTCGCGGGGTTCGCGGGGTTGGCGGGGTTGGCGGGGTACAGCATCATCATCATCATCATCATCATCATCATCATCATCGTCATCGTCATCGTCATCATCATCATCATCATCATCACCATCATCATCATATCATCATCATATCATCATCATCATTATATCATCATCATCATCACCATCATCATCATCATCCTCATCATCATCATCCTCATCATCATCATCGTCATCATCATCATCACCATCATCATCTCATCATCATAGCATCATCATGATCATGATCATCATCATCATCATCATCATCATCATCATCAGTGTCATCATCATCATCATCACCATCATCATCATCATCATCACTGCCATCATCATCATGATCATCATGATCATCATCACCATCATCATCATCATTATCATCATCATTATGTTCATCTTCATCTGCATCATCATCTTCATCATCATCAACAACAACAACAACACAATTTGCCATCATCGTCACCATGATTCAAGATTATGATCATCATCATGATCCGCATCCACAAATGACACCACCTACATCACCCACATCGTCATCAACATCTCCGACATCATCTCCGACATCATCATCTTTGTTTCTGCTTTGGTACATTGAAACCTTGATTGCCAGAAACGCTAATTGACGTTAAACATGGTCGAACTTCAAATCAAATAGGTTCGAACTTTGATTTAAGGCTTCGAAGTAAATTCACATTAACAAACTCAGTGCTTGTGCAAATGCAAATGGAAGTCTATAGTGCGCAGAGAAGCGTTTAGGGAAATGTGGGGGGAAAAGTTTATGCCGTAGAAGCCAGCGGCAGTTTGTGTTCAAGTTGAAGTTGGCGGGGTTGTGCTTCTTGTGAAACAGGGTTTTCGATTTAAATGATGTTTTGTAGCGTTGAGGAACACCTTGCGTCAAGATGTGATCTTGCCTTGCTGCGATCTCGGAAGCAGGTGTGATCAGGCTATCCAAAATCCGTTTTTAAGATGCCAATATCGTGGTTTCAGCTGGTGTATTGTTGGCTACTATTGATTAGTTATGTTCTTGTTGCTGCTGCTGTTGCTGTTGCTGCTGCTGTTGTTTTGGAGGTTGAGGTTGTGGTTGTGGTTGTGGTTGTTGTTGTTGTTGTTGTTGTCGTTGTCGTTGTCAATTGTCGAAGAGGACCAGAGTATGATCATAGAATAGCCCAAAAAACAGGTTGGACAATGCTACGGTACTGTAAAAAACTTTAGCAGAGAAGCAAGTGCGTGCTTAAATACAAGTGAAGAGCCAAAGCGTAGCAGCAAGAATTCATGCAAGATGAGCTAAAACCCTGAGGATAGCTGTTCCTTATCTCTCCAGGTCATTTTTGTTAAAGGCCTTTAGTCGCATATTGATCTCGCACAAGGAAGTGTGAAGCTAGTGGCTTAACATTTTGAACATAATGACCCGCGCAGAAGGTAGTTTAGAATCTTAGAGTTGTAAGATCAATGTGGACAGCCATGAGCAAGAATGCGAGTGCAACATGACTCATGAATGCCGTTTCTAACTTTGAAGGTGACATGGTCGAAAGTGACAAGGAAGACTGCAGTGCAAGCAGCTGTTTTTATTGGTCGTCGAGGCTTGCGTTCCTTGCGTTTCGTGAAAACTGTGCGCTTGATTCGCCCGGCATTGTTGCGGGACTTTCGTTTTTCCACATGCTTTGCCCATTGCCGTCTTTGCACCGCCGCCACAGTCTTAAAGTGCCGGAGTTTTTGCGGGTCAGCTCCATGCACAGGGCGCACAATGGCTGCTCTGTTGGTGGCTGGAAGCGCAGCCTGTTCCCCAAATGGCTGACAAAACTCCAAGCCAAGGATGCCCTCCAGCAGAGCAAGAAGCTGACCTTGCGATCTCTGCGCAATCATTGGGTTGTAGGCAGCAGACCTTGGCGGGAACAAAAAGGGCACAAGCTATGTGATATGGATGCTTGTCTTTCAATGAATAGGGATGCATAAGGCCTTCTCTAGGGAATTTAATGGTTGGCGCAACTTTTTTCTTGCAAAAGGAATAAAATTACATGAGCTCTGACAGCAAGAGGCTGATGCGCCAACAGCTTCGCCATAGAGAAGGCTTGCAGGATGACATCGACACTTTCTTGGTGTTGCTGAACGGTAGCACGTTGACAAGCGTTGAACTGACTGTGTAAAGCCTCGTTTGCAGTCGTTCCTGTGGCCAAGATGCATCGGTCTTCACTGGTAAGATCATGGATGGCTCGACTTCCGTTCAGCAAGAAAGCAAAATGTTCGAAACCTGCCCCATTGACTAAGATTTGCCTCAGTGTCTGTCCGCTGGAATTCCGGCGGTTCATTTCACTGGGATGCCGAAGACACACTTCTTGGATGTCGTCGATGTAGTCCTGGTGATGTTGATAAGCTGCTTGGGAATATTGTGTCCAATCTCGATCTACATGACGCGGCTGTATTTGTGCGGCTTTCCATCGTCCTGCAAATGACAGGTCGAAAGGGAGACATGATGTATTGACGGGAAGTGTGAATTGATGGGAAGTAAGCTTTTAAAAAGGGCAACGTTGGAACAAAGCAGGGGCCTTGCGAAAGCTCATGACTGCTTTCACCATCATAGATGGATCCAGGCGCAGGGATTGTAAACTTCTTCTGTATATGCAAACATAAGCGAGAGCGTGGTGTTCTGCGTTCTCCAAAGCAGGCTTCGACGCGGAAGACCAGATGTATTGGATCTTCAGCCACCCCAATGAGACTTGGATACAAATCTGCAGCTGCTGCCAAGATTGTTTTCGGTGTGTCTGAGAAAATCCATCGTGTTGTTTGTCGCGCGTCAGGAGGTAGCAAGGTTTCAGAAGCATTCCGGAAGCATGTTTTGCCCTCTGTGTGTTGCGCACAGAGGCCAGGCAGTGCACCACTTTTGCCCAGGATGGAGTGCACTGCGTGGATTCCCCTGCTTTCTGTGACATCTTGTCCTGCCCCAGTACTGAAAACAAGCTTTTGAAGGTTGCATCGTGCGACAAGACTGTCCACTCACCTTGCTTCGTGCACTTGTTGATACACTTTCGGCGAAGACTAGTGATAGGCTCTAGCGTCCATAAATCTTCCATAAGTCGTCTCCGCGTCAAACGGTTGCGTAAGCCAAGGAGAGCACAGGGAGATCCACTTAGAACAAAATGTCGTGTGAGTTCCAGAAAGGTCGGCTCGGATTTGCCAGCGTGCTTGAGCATGGTCGGGAGGAGGACATTGACCAGAGTATGATCATAGTACAGCTTCTTGTGAAGTCGCCGGGAGTTTACTGTCTGTGCTTTGAGAAGATATCGCATACCTGTGGATGTGAGGCACTGCACCAAGTCGAAGCCATTGTGAGTGGCCAAGTATCTTTGCGTGGCAGCGTCGGGCGAAATCCATTGTCGCAACATGGTTGCAGATGTATGAAGCAGCTTGCTCTGGAGCTGAGGGGGCTGCAATGGGCAAGAGACCTGTGGCAGAGAAAGTTGTCGACCGATGTTATTAGGGTCAGCGTGTGGCTACCCTTCAAATCTACGTAGCTGAAAGAGTTTGTTTCTTCTTGGGCGAAAGCAATTAAGCGATGAAACATGGCCCCATTCGTGCTGCATTCGACCTGGCAACCAAGAGCACGGTTATGTGAGGTTTTGACTTTGAAATATGGGGTTATCCCGCCTGTTCTTGCTCAAACAATGCTAAGAGGATGTTCCATTGAGCTTGGCTGCGCCCATTGGCTGTGAACAGCCTATCTTTGCAATGGTATTTCTGCACGTGCTGCAACAAGCGGTCTCTGCGAGGAAATTTTCGAAATGGGCACAGCTTGCAATCATTTCCTTCTTGGGCAGGTTCTCGCTGATTCTGCAAAGTTGCAATATATCGTTGTATCTCCTCTTCAACCAGCCGGATAACCTCAGAGACGATGAGCTCTCCAATGCCTTCATCCTCATCATCGGGGGCATTGGCTGCCATGAAGCGTGGCTGAGGGAGATATTGGTAGAAGTGCAAGGTTGATGTGCGAACTGATTGGGAAGGGTGGCTATGCGGTGTTTGCATTGCATATGTAACAAGAAAATCGGAAGGCTAGGCTGTCCATGTGTGTGAAAGGAAAAGGACTTGACAGAAAGACACAGGGAACATGTTTACTGCGATGAAGCTTGAAGCAACAAGGCCACAGGAGCACGGAGACAAAGTTGCAGAGGGAAGAGAACCAAGGAAAACATCTACAACCAAGGAAGATTCTTATCGGGAGGGGGGGCCACGAAGAAACAGGGGTGAATTGGTCTCCGAAAGACAAGTAGGTTTAGACAACACAGCTGTGCTAAAGTCTTCTCTGAATCTCTCTGGCACAAAGCCGGGTGAAACATGGTGGCAGCAAGCACGAAAGGAGCAACAAACTCGTGCTGTTTTTTAGATAATTAGAATAACCGTGTGCGGTAGACCATTGACATGATTGGCGTATAATGTTGTGTGACTGATTGGCTCCAATACTTTGCAACCCATGAGTTCACGCTAGGCTTGCCCTTTTTCATCGGCCGATCGCAGTTTTTTGAGTTGTGGCAACACTTTGGCTGTCATTGGCCACCACCTTTGGACAAGACAATATTTATCCCCATAGCTGCTAGAATAGATTGGCAATTTGCCTTTTTTGATGCCTTTAACTGATATCAAGTAACTGTGGCAATAAGGCCGGACGAATGGTTTGATAGGAGTCTTGAACGTACAAGGGATGATGGAATGCAGAAGTGGTTGCCAAGGAAACCAATGGTTTTACTGCCAATAGTTGCTGCGATTCTTACGCGACTTCTTGCATTTTTTTTTCGCACCAGTCGCTCCCGTTCCCTTTTAGAGCGAAACGACCCAGGTGCAGCAAATAGGTCATCAATCTTTTCACGCAGCAAATCCATCTGCTCTGCAAGTCCAGCCGGGAGATGTTCTTTGTCTGCATGAAATTCCCACGAGCCCTCCCGACCAGGCCCGTAGTCTTGGTTCATGGCGAGAGGCATCCAAGCTGTCAAGACTTCATTTAGGATTAAGACTCCCAGAAGTGGGAAACACTGTTGGGTATCAAAATTTATTTTTTAGTGATTATTTAGTATTTCTCTAGCGTGTCTGATTAGCGTTTATTTTGTTAATGTTTTGGCTTTCCATTTTTTTGTCCACAGATTTAAGGTGATTGCGGTTTGGTTTGCTCAGTTCCTTGTGTTGTGTCCACCGTTTTGCTCACAAGCAGAGGCAAGTTGCTTGGGGAACGCTGAAAGAAAACTTGTTGTCAATCTTTGGGTGTGGGTTCTGACAAATATTGGAACTACCCTACTCATACTGGAACCCATCATAGAAAGTACTTCAATATTGAAAGGAAAATATAGATTTCTAAGTTCACAGTTCAGGCAAGGGGCCCTGTTGGAATGTATGACAATGCGTGAGTTTAAATTTAAGTCAAGAAAGGATGGTCAGTAAATACTATTCGTCTGCTTAGCCAAGCTTCAATATCTATGTTGTTCGATATCTGGAACCCTCTAGACTCTAGACTCTAGACTGTATCCCAAAGGTTTTAGAAAATGTGACAACTTTAGAATCTGTAACTCTTAGTTAGGATATTTAGAATGAAAGGTGTTCTGTTACTGAACTTGAGTCATTGCTGCATTGCCACTACTGAACTGCTACTGGATGAAACAATTGCTGGGCTGGTCAACCAATCATGATGGTACTGACTCTGTTTCTGACTGATGTGCAACTTGGATGCATCATCAAAATCAAGGAACAGGAACCACTGTGAAACCAAAAGGATTGGTTCGTGATTGTGAGAATTTCAGAAAAGCCGAATGCCGCCTGAACAAACAGCATCACGATTCCAAAAGCCCACGCTATTTCGAAACGCTATTTCGAAACGCTATTTCGAAACGCTAGAAAAACGCTAGAAAAACACTAAAACTCGAGGTTTTAGCGTTTTTGGAGCAAATTACCTAGGACCCCGAGAAAAACGCTATTTCGAAACGCTAGAAAAACACTAAAACTCGAGGTTTTAGCGTTTTTTTTTGCGTTTTTGGAGCAAATTACCTTAGGGATCGAAAAACGCTAGAAAAACGCTAAAAAAACGCTAAAAAAACACTAAAACTCGAGCTTTTAGCGGTTTTCTAGCGTTTTTGGAGCAAATTACCTTAGGAGCCCGAAAAACGCTAGAAAAACATAAAAAAAACGCTAGAAAAACACTAAAACTCGAGGTTTTAGCGTTTTTCTAGCGTTTTTGGAGCAAATTACCTTAGGAGCCCGAAAAACGCTAGAAAAACGCTAGAAAAACACTAAAACTCGAGGTTTTAGCGTTTTTTTTTTGCGTTTTTGGAGCAAATTACCTTAGGGATCGAAAAACGCTAGAAAAACGCTAAAAAAACGCTAAAACTCGAGGTTTTAGCGTTTTTCTAGCGTTTTTGGAGCAAATTACCTTAGGAGCCCGAAAAACGCTAGAAAAACGCTAAAAAAACGCAAAAAAAACACTAAAACTCGAGGTTTTAGCGTTTTTCTAGCGTTTTTGGAGCAAATTACCTTAGGAACCCGAAAAACGCTAGAAAAACGCTAAAACCTCGAGTTTTAGTGTTTTTTTAGCGTTTTTTTAGTGTTTTTCTAGCGTTTTTCGGGCTCCTAAGGTAATTTGCTCCAAAAACGCTAGAAAAACGCTAAAACCTCGAGTTTTAGTGTTTTTTTAGCGTTTTTTTAGCGTTTTTCTAGCGTTTTTCGATCCCTAAGGTAATTTGCTCCAAAAACGCAAAAAAAAACGCTAAAACCTCGAGTTTTAGTGTTTTTCTAGCGTTTTTCTAGCGTTTTTCGGGTTCCTAAGGTAATTTGCTCCAAAAAGGCTAGAAAAACGCTAAAACCTCGAGTTTTAGCGTTTTTCTAGGGTTTTTCTAGCGTTTTGAAATAGCGTTTCGAAATAGCATGTTTCCAAAAGGGTTCATGAAGTCTCTGATTTAGCTACTCTTTTTGGATCGCAGCAGGCCAAGCAACTTGTAGATTGTAAATTTGAGTTGTCTGATTTCAGTTGGTGAAAGAGAATCTGTCTGTTCAACTTATTTTGGTATCTCTGTACCTGATTGATGGTGCTATTCCTCTATGTCTTAGTGGGTCCTGTTAGAGAGGAACGATATTTCCAAAGTATGTACAATGTAATATATACGATATATGATTCTGACAATACAATTTACACTATATTATATATAGTCACTATATATTATAACAATATTCATTGTTTGTCTTTCCGTTTGGTTTGCTTGCTTGATTTGATCGAAAACTTGAAATTGCTGTCGTGGATTTCGCCAAGCCGTTGAGAGCGAAAGATGTTGGTGTTGAGGGGTATCAGGGACTATATAGTAGTGACTAGTGACTAGTAGCTTAGGCTTCAATCTAAAATGGTTCAAGCAGTGGCTCTTCAAAGGAGATTCCACAAAAAGGACAGCATTCTTATGAAAAAAAGTGTCTCAAACCACTCCACAGTTGACAATTTTGCTGGTTACTTTTCCCCTGCCCACTCCCACTCTCCCACCTCCAGGAAACCCTCTTATACACCACTAATCTGAAACGCTCCAAAACCACTAGAAAAACACTAAGAAATAATATTGGGTCTGGCAGCTTTTGCCACATCCCGGAAGTCTTAAATTTAGGAGGGCATGGTTCGCTTCAGAAGGCATCAACGGCTGAGTTGACGCCTGAGACAAATCGAATGTCTGGTCGACATCGAGGTCTGGATGCCTCGCCTGCAGAACTGAGTCATCGGATTCAGCCAATGCCCTCTGTCGATCGTACTGTTCCAAGAAAGCATCCATAATGGAAGGTACAAGCAAAACCTGTGGAAAAACAAGTGATTCAATTCAATCATGAAATTCATGCTTGCGTGTGCTGTGGTTTCTTGCCATGCATGCATACATGACCTGCAGAAAAATAAATACTGAAGCCTTGCTACCTTTTCTGATCCTTGAAAGACAAACAGATCCGGTGAATGCGCCAAACTCTGCCGTGAGAAATGTGAGGGCCTTTGAGATGGTTGCAAACATGATGGCCCAGAGAGCCACCTAGAGACAAATGACATTTTTAGCAGACAAGATGGCCCAGAGAGCCACCTAGGTACAGATGAGTGTGTAGCAGACAAGGATGAGGCTGTAGACACTATGGCCCAGAGAGCCACCTAGAGACAGATGAGTGTGTAGCAGGCAAGATGGCCCAGAGAGCCACCTGGAGACAGATGACATTATAACAGACAAGATGGCCCAGAGAGCCACCCAGAGACAGATGACATTGTAACAGGCAAGATGGACCAGAGAGCCACCTAGAGCCAAATGACATTGTAACAGGCAAGATGGCCCAGAGAGCCACCTAGAGACAGATGACATTGTAACAGGCAAGATGGCCCAGAGAGCGACCCAGAGACAGATGACATTGTAACAGGCAAGATGGCCCAGAGAGCCACCTAGAGACAGATGACATTGCAACAGGCAAGATGGCCCAAGGAGCCACCTAGAGACAGATGACATTTTTAGCAGACAAGATGGCCCAGAGAGCCACCTAGGTACAGATGAGTGTGTAGCAGACAAGGATGAGGCTGTAGACACTATGGCCCAGAGAGCCACCTAGAGACAGATGAGTGTGTAGCAGGCAAGATGGCCCAGAGAGCCACCTGGAGACAGATGACATTATAACAGACAAGATGGCCCAGAGAGCCACCCAGAGCCAGATGACATTGTAACAGGCAAGATGGCCCAGAGAGCCACCTAGAGACAGATGACATTGTAACAGGCAAGATGGCCCAGAGAGCCACCTAGAGACAGATGACATTGTAACAGGCAAGATGGCCCAGAGAGCCACCCAGAGACAGATGACATTGTAACAGACAAGATGGCCCAGAGAGCCACCTAGAGACAGATGACATTGTAGCAGACAAGATGACCCAGAGAGCCACCTAGAGACAGATGATATTGTAACAGACAAGATGGCCCAGGGAGCCACCTAGAGACAAATGACCTTGTAACAGACAAGATGGCCCAGAGAGCCACCCAGAGACAGATGACATTGTAACAGGCAAGATGGACCAGAGAGCCACCTAGAGACAGATGACATTGTAACAGGCAAGATGGCCCAGAGAGCCACCTAGAGACAGATGACATTGTAACAGACAAGATGGCCCAGAGAGCCACCTAGAGACAGATGACATTGTAGCAGACAAGATGACCCAGAGAGCCACCTAGAGACAGATGATATTGTAACAGACAAGATGGCCCAGGGAGCCACCTAGAGACAAATGACCTTGTAACAGAGAAGATGGCCCAGAGAGCCACCTAGAGACAGATGACATTGCAACAGGCAAGATGGCCTAGAGAGCCACACGTAGGTTCAGATGACATTGAAAAGACCAGATGCCTCAGGGAGCCACCTAGATGCAAATTAGCGAGATGGTTCAGAGAGCCTAGGTCATCGTCGTCGTCATCGTCGCCTCTCCCTGCTGCGCTCCTGCTGTTGTTGTTCATCTTGTTCTTCTTGTCCCTTTTCTTCTTGTTCTCCTTTTTCTTCTTGTCGTGGGTCTTTTTATGTTTGTGTTCTCTTCTTGTTCTTTTTTCTTGCTGTTGTTCTTGTTCTTGTGGTTATCTAATATGGTTACCTGATGTGTCTTGATAATTTTGTTTGAAGGGCTTTTGCAAATGCAGTGGACAAGAGTATACACTAGCAAGAAACATGTTGTCAAATGCTGCTGCAAAAGCTTTATCCAGAGAAGCAAGTGTGTGCTTAAGTACAAGTGAAGAGCCAAAGCGTAGCAGCAAGTTATGATTGAAGATGAGCTATAACCTGAGGATGAATGTTTCTTCTCTCTCTCCAGATCATTTCTGTTAAAGGCCTTTTGTCGCATAGTTCCTAACAGTCCATCTCTCGGGGGGGGCTCCCCTTATAATTGATATCGTCGAGAATTCCACGATTTGCACGGGCTGGCCCCCCAATACCCCCTATGATTGTGCTGAAGCACGGAGAACTCAGGTAGCTGACGCTACCTTTCGTGATAATTGTTCTGCCAAAATGCTTAGCCAGCAGAAATTTCCTTGCACCAGTGGTTGCATTCAAATTCTGTAGGACGTACCTGCGCAAGCACACCCATGGCACAGGGGTACAGCAAGCAGCAGTAGAAACATGCATGTCCACATATCTTCATAAGCAACAGTCAAGAACATGTTAGCCCTGTCAACTGTTGCGAAGTGGTGCATACAGGGGTTGCCTTTGGTGACAATATTCCTCATACGGAAACCAGAAAGTAAACATGTCCTTCAACATCCTTCAGTGAAATTCAAAATTCATTGTTTTGTGACATGGAGTTTCAAAAACCATCCGTTTCCATCGAAAAACACACTCGTGTTTTGTAGAAACTCTCCAAAAAATGTCCTTTGGAACGAACAAGCAGTGTCCAATTGTGCAGCTTAGGCACCGGAGCGTGCGCCGCTCGCAGTCGCCCAAACGTTCGCCATCCAGGGCCAATTGCCAAAGATCCACTGCCTGCTGGGGAGAACAACGATTACATATAGTAATAATCCCACCACCACGGCACCAGATCAAACCCCCAATCCTTTCCGTATCTTTCGGCCATCGCCTGTTGTTGTGAGATGCTTTGCTCAGCAGAGAATGTTTCAGCCCGCTGCAGCAATGCGCGGCTGTACTTGGTGCGTCCAATGCTCGTGTAGTAAGATCCTTCGGTGGCCAAGTCTTTGCAAAACTGGGAAAATGATTGAGATTGAACATGACCCAAATGACTCAAAACCCACATTCTTCGTGTAGTAAAATCGGTGGGTTCTTGGATCTTCAGTAAACTTCCTTTAAGTTGGAAGTCTTAGTTTTCCTCAGGACTTGAACCAAGTAGCCATCTAGCAGCTGCTGCTCCATAAATGCCCTCCCCTTTTCCGTGAACTCCAGGTGCTCAACCACCCAGCCTCAAATGCTGGGTGAAATGGCTAGGGCATTGGCCATCTGAAAATGGCTGGCCTGTTTGCAGCGCCATTCTTGGATATGTTTGGAATCAAAACCTATTAAAGTCAAACCATCCAAATTAAGTCCAAGTTTGGAACTAAGCAGCGTACTACAATTGAGAATTAAACGTAAGCTGGCCCACCAAAGCCAACATTCCTAGGCAGTTGGTTGGTATCTTGCAAGTACTGAAAGTATCATGGGCCAAATCAACTCAACACAAAGTAAACCTGGACAGGATCGGTTTCATACCCCCCAAAAATGGGCTTCCGAAGGACGTCAGCGATACACTCACGTAGCGGCTGTGTATACCCCCGTGAACGGTTGCCAACAGTACACAGGTTGTCAGATTATCACAGGTTTACATCAATCAAGGATGCGCATAGAAATAACCAAAATCTGCACCCGGCAGCCCAAGGTATGTCTCTCCACTTCCGTGATCCTGTTGCCTCACTGGCAGTACGGTGTACAGTGCATCAACTTCAACTTGGGACATTCCAACTCAGAAAAGGACTGCAGCCTACCACCAGTTTTTTTTAAATACCTCCCCAGCACTAAATGAGCAGTGTTCCAAACCCATCTTGATTATCTTGATGATATCATATAGGGGTTATACTAATGTCATACTCTCCAAATCTATCCAATATAATGGGGACTATAAACAGCTCCAAAAACGATCTGAGCCGCACACCATCCTTTGCTTTGTCCCAGAGATCCATGGCATCAACCAAACCAATGGGGCCATTGCTGGCCACTCGCTCAGCAGCTTCCAACAAGGCCCGGTCACATTTCACGCCATCCACGTGTCCTGACCAGCGTGGCTTCACCCGGCGAAAAGGCATTGGGATATCCGGGATATCCCTAAAGAATGGATAAAAAGGGGGCAAAGAAATGGAGAGAAACTGGAGCGCACACGGATCTGTAGGAATCTGAGTACCATATCGGGTCAAAGGCGTACGAGTGGATCCGCACAATTAGACCTTTTATATCATATCAAAGCATCCATTTTGATCGTTTTGGTGGTTGCTAATTTTGATCGATACTATGACTATAACCAAATTGTCCAAAAATCACTGGTTTGGGGGGGAAATCATGTTAAATCTAAACTTTACAGATCAAAGTTGGGGTCGAGAAAATTAATGTATCATGTATTTAAATATATTTTAATCCAGATATCATAGATCCTTCTGCTCCCAACAGCTTGGAAAATCCCAAGTTTCGGTAGTAGGACTCATTGCCAGTGCGCGCTCGCTTACTGGAAGAGGCCATGTGTCACCGCGCAAGCTGTGCTGCACTGGCTACGCGCTGCAAGATGCTGCGGGGCCACCATATTCAACGACTATCCATGGGGAAAATGGGGAAAATCCATGACAATCCAGGATTTGGAGTGAAAAATGCAAAGGTGCTGGAAACCTGGTAATGTGGTTTAAACAATAATAAACTAGCCATTGGGGAAGGGTTTACACCACCTATTCAGGGTGATTTGGGGGATGGTTTATTATTGTTTTACCCATGGGAATCCAGGTTCAACTGGGGCCAGATCCCCTGAGGATCCAACTCGTCTGGCCATAAGCGTCCCCGATGTTGCCATAGACCTCTGAGAAGTAGCGCAGCAGTCCCAGCTGATCCAAGAGCTTTTGGATGGGACCCACCAAACCTGCCACCAGGTGCGATGTTGAGCTGGGACCCCAGGTTTTTTTGCCTCACAGAAACACCACATTACTCTACCCAGTTTTGAGTTTTGAGGTGCAGTGGCTAAGAATTTCCATGAATTTCCATAAAGGGAGCCGGCAAGTCTGAAAAATACCTTCCAAAAAAACATGGGTCATTAAATGTCCCCATTGAACATCACCCAACCATTAGGTATATGGCCTAGCTTCCAGAACAAATGAGGAGAAACGGCTGGGCGCCTCTGGAGCAAATGATGCACTCAACACCAGCCTGTCGAAGCTGCTCCTGGCCAGGTTGGCTGGAGCTCCGGTAGTCTATGGCGACTTCAACTCGTAAAACTTCACCTTGCGCGCCAGTGCCTCTGACAGTTTCAACAGTTTCAAATCAGTTTCAATTCAATTACAGATTGGTTCGGGAATCTTCGCAGAAGCTGTGGGTGACCCCTGTCCCATCCCCCGCTCCAACATCCCTGCAAGGCGTTGCACACGCTCTGCACCACCAAAGGCAGCCATGGCAAAGCCACCTCCGGCTCCGACAGTTTTTAGGATGTGGTCCAAGGAACTTCAGTTTGTTTTAGTAATATTTAGTAATCCATAGCGAATCATAGCGATCATCTCACTTCATGATCCAGTTCATGATCCCATGATCCACAGTTCCATAGCTCAGAAACGGGGAATCGCCACTGACAAGCGTCTGTTTGGGTGATGCTCAACAATATTCGAAATTCCCAACAGGGAACATTTACCAATAATTCCGACCAGCAATTCAAGCCAATTGGAATAATCGTCGATGATTGAAAATGACAGCAAATTGTAAAGTGAAAGTTGGGGATGGTGGCGTGTCTTCGGTTGGCATGTTGACGGTGCGTTTCTATTGTCCGATTTACTATGTTCCATTCTGCGTCCAAACAGAGGCATGTCGACAGAACAACGTTTGGCATGTCGAAGGTCAGTTTGGCATGAAGGGCCCGTCACACATCAAGGCCTTGTTGCTGCAGCTGAGGGTGTCGATCTAGGCCGACAATACGAGCCAACCTTGGCAGTTGTGGAAACGAATGAATATGTTGATATGTTGGAGGTCGGGAGTGGCCCAGTCGAGCTGTCCAAAAATGCTGGGAAGGGACCTGTATCTGTTTGTTTTCTCCTAACAACAAACACGGTGGGTTTCATGTGGCTTTGGGTTCCCCAGTTTTTGAAGCCCTCCAAGTTCCTTCAGATTCCTGCTGGAATTGCAACCTTCCGAACCTGATCCTTGGCGACTTCCAGCCAGTTCCAGCGTTGCCACAGTCACCTGAGGGTCCACACTGCCCTGCCTCGCTACAGGCATGTGGTGCAGGTAGTTGCCACACCTCTCTGCCACCAGCCTCAGATAGCTGGGATAGTGGCTGAAGAAGCTGAGTGTGTGGGCAGCAAACAGAACGAGCTGGAAACATCAAGATTGCCACTGCCAGAACTCGTATGAACTGGTACAGATAAAGACTGCCATTTTTCTCCGTTCAATTCACCCAAGAACCCGATGACGCCCCATTGCTGCAAGGTCAAAGAAATTTTGCAGCCATCATGACTTCCGAGTGTCGCACTATGGAATTGTAGACATGAACCACACTCAAAGTCTGGTCCTTACAAAATGGGGATGGGTCGAGTCAGTGGATTTTGAGTTTTGACGACCCCTAATGTCCATGTGGCTGGAATCGTTTTCCAATCCTTTTTCCCACATGGTAAACCTGGATCTTGTCTTAACATGGTTGAACTTCATCGTGGTCGAATCCCATCAGGCAGCCTTTGCTGGGATCAAAGGACCCTGTGCCAACTTGGGCAGCAAAACCATCGATTTCCCCTTCAAAGTCAAAGATCATATGTATTCAGAATAGCATTTATACAGACCAGATTAAGCCTTGTTAAACAGTGTTAAACCACACTAAACCATGTCAAACCACGTTGAACCAAAGGCGTTCTTGAAGGGTTGCAGCCGTTTGGAGCCGTGAGCTCTTTTCGATTCTTTGGGTTTTTGGTGGTCGCGGATGGCTTTGCCCGAGTCCCTCGCGAAATCGAAGACCACCTCACAACGTCGCACTAGCAATCCCACGGCGTTGGGGGTGAAGACACCAAGAAACAACTTCAACATGCAGGCATGCAGGGTACTTCTAAGTAACTTTTAACATTGCCCTGCCATGTTGAAATGGTCCGGTTCAGTGTCTTTTTTATATGTTCTTATGGAGGGCTACACATTGAGAATGGAGACAAAGGGGGTGGATTTGGTCCTGTTGGAGTTTCATGCACAGCTGGGGGTCAAAATTGGGACATGAATGGACTCATTAGTTCTTTGTTTTTCGGGGAATGACATTCTTCAACCGCCGAACATCAATCATCCCTGAGATCATCCCATATCGGCCCTGAGAGCAAGACCAAGCGCAACGGCATCACCGACTAAGCGCACTAGCTTTGGTTGAGATCCCTGATGAATGTGGTAAACCTGCCATAAACCCCATTTTTACCAGAAATGTGTGGTATTGTATTGTATAAATGTATGAATGTGAATCCATTCAAAATTTGATATTGATGGCATTGGGTTTACCACATTATGATCAATCAAGCGCCATATTCTGGTCTTCATGAGCGCAACGTCTGGTCACATCATCAAGAAATTCTTCTGTTCAAACTAAAAAGTCACCAAGTCCTTTTCACAAAAGAAGGAAATGAAACATATCCATAAACTTACGTCTGCGTCATTCTATCAAGAGGGATTGATTTATGTTTGATCTCAATAAACATCAAAAAAGAAACGATTTCAGAGCAAATAAAACAAGTGTCCATAAGCATCAGCATCATGTCTCCGCAAACAAGAATCAATGCCAATAATATCTTACAATCGATATCCACAAATATCAACAATTTCAATAAACATATATCATCATGAATCATGGATTCATCACTACCCAGAAACCATGTCCCAGTGTCCTCATGTGCGGTCGTCCAAAAAATAAGATGCGCCCACGTAACTGTGTATCTCATTAAGTATGGCCTTTTGACACAATGGAGGCAGTGCTCACATTCTCTTCGTTCAAGGATTTCAATGGATTTCACGGGTGTCTTGTGGTGCTTTCCTCGTTTGTTCCCAGATATTTTCAGACACAAATGATCCGACGCCCATGTTGTATCTTTTTGCCCAGTGAGCGCTCATCTCACAGGAAGCTGCCAGGCCTCAAAGCCCGAAGTTCATGCCCGAAGATTTTAGTGCGTTTGAATGATGGATTATGTGGAGATTCATTTATGACGATTTGTGAATATCCAAAATGTTGATTTGTATCTTGACATGCCATGAGATGTGACATCGTTTTCTAATGTTCTGTATACTGTATATCCATGTATATCCTAAACAAATAGCCCTCCCAAAAAAAACAGGGGTAGGACGTAGGAGGACACAATTCTTTCATGTGCCGCGCCCGAGTTTGTTTCAATATACCTTGCTTCCGGAAGTTCAACCGTGGGAGCCAAATGATCACATTTAATTTGGTTTGCACCAGCATGGGAAACCATCTTAGCTTGGACAGCTCCCCTTGTGTATTTGGGAGAAACTTCTGCACCATAAGCACTTCTGCATGATGCACAGCTTGTCCTGAGGGATTCTCAGGATTTCTATTGATAGGATACCGTCACTCAAGCCTTCGCCAGTCTTGTGTCCTTTATAAGTATGTAATCTCTTATCCATTGTCATAGAATGTCATAGACACCCAGAAAAAAAGAAATCTGCTTTAGTGCTAGCTTTGTTCCTTTATTTTCAGAATCCACATGGATGCTGTATATACACTTTTTTTTGTGCCTCCGGTCCCCACTGAGGATCAAAACCTTGGTATGTTTCCAGGCGCCTCGGAGGCGTGAGCAAAATAATTCACTTGGACCGGTTGAAATGGTGAGACTTAGCCATAATACATGTATATGATATATGTATATATTGTTATTAAATATTATATAACTATTATTATCATCAGTATTGTTATTATAGTTGTAATCACTATGATTATTACTATTAATAACATTATTATACTACATATATATATATGTATGTTATACTATTAATATTATTATTATACTATATATATACTGTATGTATATATATATTCAAGGAAATTCAAGTAGTGTAAGCCTTGAAGAGTTGATTGGTTGACTTTTGGCAAAATACCAAAACTAGGCGGAAGCAAACCAAGGTAATTTTCATGTCACCCGCTGCGTCACTAAGCTAAAACAAATGGTTCAAATCACCAGCACTGGGGCACCGACGGCGCTCACCGCGAACAGCCTGAAGATCTATCGTTGCCCCCAAAAGAAGGTGTAATCACCATTCTGGAAGAGATTTCACTCACACAACCGTATGAAAACCCTTCCAAAGGATGCCAATCAAGGAATGGCTTGGGTGTTTTATGGTGTTTTCATGCCAAGCCACGATGCAATCAATGCTGGATCTGGCATTGCATCCATGTCCAAAGGAAGGTACGGCCTGGTCAAATGATGGCTGAGGGTTTCACCGCTTGGTTCCCTTGGATGAGGTCTCCCGATTGAACCACCCAGTTTTGGATCTCCCATGATCTCATCCAAAGAGGGGCTCTTTTCGCATGCTTCCTGTCCGACGAAATCAGTAACATGTCTTCCTGATGGTTTGATTTGGTGTTATTTGCGAGTTTGTTGTAGTGTGCCCAAAACAGCCAACTCTCATCAATTCTCCAGGTGGGTCAATGACTTTATGCCATGAACTTGCACACACTTCCGCTGCAATCTGAGGCTCCTAACGCGTACACCTCCGGCAGTATCAAATGAGGAATGTCATGCAACACTTTTGTCCAACTAGCCCAAACATCTTTTGAACATGTTCATCTCCCGATCCCTTGTTCATGATCGCATTGCATCTGGTTTTCTTCTCAGTACCCTAGTGAATCTGTAGTTTCATTCCGCCCTTCGACCATCAATCTCATCTTCTGAGCTATCGACCCCTGTTGGCATCTTGAACGCCAAGCCAAGCCTCATTGGCTGCAGGGCTTCAACCCAGTTCAATGGTGGATTCAACCCCCCAAAAAAGGGGTAGAAACCATATTAAACTGTGAAAATTTGGGAACTTCACCCAGAAAAAAGGTCACCATCCTGTGAGAATATTGCTGATCTCTCCTCCATCATGACCTTTTGGGGATGGCTAGCAATGAGTGTCTCACCAGAACAAACCACCAGTTATTGTGATGTTTGAAATCCTCCAAAAAGGAAGATATCAAGACCATTCAAGACCCCTGTTCTGTCCAGAGTGAACACTTGTTTCCAAGTATAATATAATATAATATAATATAATACAATACAATACAATATAATATGATATGATATCATATAATATAATATAATATTATATTATATTATATAATATAATATTATATATATACATGTACTTGGAGGCAATATGGGGCAATACTACCGTACTCTGCAGAAGTGCGCTGCCTGTTGGCTGACCAAACCTCAGCGACATCAGCCTCTGACTGTCTGGCAAAGAACTCCAGGTCATGCGCCTCAGCCGATGCGTCACTTCGTAAGCGGTGAACGCGTCATTCAAATGTCACAGTCTTTAAGTATCTTTAAGTCATTTGAGTCTTTCAGTTTCCTCAGTTTCCTCATTTCTTGATCTACTGCTCAGGTCACTGCATAGTTGGCTGTGTCCGCCGCATAATGCCTGACCTCCAGGGCATGTCCGCCAGTGATCTGCCTCTGGGTCCTAATTGCTTTCTTTCTCATTATCTTTACTCGGTCTCCTACTTCTAAAGAAGGGTATAGTCTTTCCTTCTTTGCTTTTACTGAAACATTAAGTTTTGCTCTAAACTCATTCCTTTCTTTCCTTGCTTCATTTGGAGTTAGTCCAGTAGCACTATGGACGTCTTTGTTGTTGTATGTTAGTAAAATCTCGGTTATGTAATCTATCCATTGAATGATATTTTTTCCTTTCTTCTCATCATTCTCAACCCTTTTGAAGAGTTTATCTTTAAATGTCCTAATAAATCTTTCAGCGAAGGCTGGATGACCTCTAGTTCTATAAAGTTCAATCCCTTCATCTTCAACTAGTTGCTTGAAGTCAGCACCACTTATACTACCTTCATCATCAGTGTATATGATTTTTGGTTTTGCCTTCATCTTCTCCAGCCCTTCCATTGTTCCAGCGCTGACATCGGCTGGGCTTTTGCTTTTAATAGGGACTACTACAGCATATTTACTTAATACATCAATCATTACCAACCCAGCTCTAAGCTTTTGTGTTGCTTCTATATCATTTTTTGAAATGAAAAACAAATCAAGTTGAAAAGTGTGGTTGTTGTGGGGGGCTACAAAACTGTTCTGACCCCTTTGCTTTCTCTTAATCTCAACATTCATTCTAAAAAAATCTTCAACATCTTTCATAGCAATAGTTTTATCTTTTTCTCTGGCATCTTTTAAAGTTGTAGCCTTGCTCCCATAACCACTTCTATCAAAATAAATATCACTAATAATCGTCTGCTTATTACTCATATATTTACAATGATATTTTATTTGAAAAAGCACAATTACATTGAACACACAAGCCTATACAATTATCCTTGAAGTGCGCAATATCATTATTAACCCTTTGGCAACTAATATTTGATGAAACCTTGCCATCTTCAAAATCTATCACTAATGGTTCATTACAATTTTCACACTGGGTATTCATCAGGTTCATCAAAAAATCTACATCAACATAACCCCCATCTTCTACATCTCTATTTACTCATATCCTTCTCATCAGCATGATACTTATAAAACTTAATTCTATTTAAATCTCTTGCTCTGGTAATTGCTGTCCAATACCAGTTCTTACTGCAATACCATTTGCTCCAATCATATATCACAATGTCATCATCCACACTACAGCCTTGCTTACTATGACAGGTGTAGCAGTAAGCATATATGAAATGCTTTCTCAATAATTTCATTTCTATATTTTGCTTCTCATTAGTAGCCACATTTTGTAAAACCACATCATTACCAACAATTTTTACAATTAAACAATTTAAAATTTACATTAAATTTCTTACCTTTGGTCTTAATATATTTTCTACAGATGACCTCCTCACCTATCACATATTCATGTTCTATGCCTTTCATTTTTCTAATTTTATTGCTCACTTCCCTACAAGTTTTAATTGTATAAGCAATGTTGTTTTCACATATCTCATTGCCCTTCACTCCATCCAAAGTGTTTTTCAATGACATTAAGTATAGGCGCATTGTTCACAATCATAGCCTTAATATCATAAAGTTTCTTTCCGTCTTCTTCAGTCTTCAACCTCTTACATTCATAAAGCATAATATTGTTTTCAAAAATCAAATCAATACAATGGTCAGCATATTTCTCAAATGACATTACATTGCTTACCCTC